TTAGGTAAAGCGAAATTTTGATTTGCATTTAAATGAAACGAAGCATTTTCTGAAGTAATCCGAAGCCAATAACGTCGGCGCATCGTTCCAAAATTGGAATCCACAACAAAGGGACGTCAAAGAAACTAGCAAGTGCACGCGTGCTCGCCGGCATAAAGAGCGACGGTGCGCGGCTTAGGAGCCTCGTGCGTCCATTACCCCCACCCGCCGGGGGTTCCGAAAGTACGGGGAGTCCCCACCGCCTCACACCCAAAGATGCATCCAGTTCTGGACGAAACCGCACTGCCGCTTGCACAAAATGGTAATGAGTTTGAACTCTTATTTATTCAGCTGATAGTTATTGATTACTTAAACGTTTAATTTGAAACCGAATTGTTTAATTTGATTATGGTAATAACTGAAGGGTACTTCAGACTAAAATATGTCCTCAACATAGTTACTCCAAGGTTTAAATTTGTATGCAGAAAACGTATTTAGCGTGCAAACTCATTAATTCTTCATTAAGAGACAGATATTTTTTTTAACAAGAACGTAATGTTACTTATGAATTTATTGACCATTTATCATAAATACTTTGGCAGTATAGCTAGGATTTAATATCCGAATGATGAATCGTCAATAATCATACTACTACTACTACTACTACTACTACTACTACTACTACTACTACTACTTCTTCTTCTTCTTCTTCTTCTTCTTCTTCTTCTTCTTCTTCTTCTTCTCCTTCTTCTTCTTCTTCTTCTTCTTCTTCTTCTTCTTCTTCTTCTTCTTCTTCTTCTTCTTCTTCTTCTTCTTCTTCTTCTTCTTCTTCTTCTTCTTCTTCTTCTTCTTCTTCTTCTTCTTCTTCTTCGCAAACATAATAACGCATTAATTACAACCTCTATGTCTCTAAGTCCAAAAGATTTACATTACGATACAGATAAATTAAATAGAAGTGATTAGAAGAGGACAAACACCAAAGATATTTATCGGAGGTAAGCACGACATGCCCCTGCTTCGATAAATCGCATTACGTTCCACGTGCCAAGCATACATTTTTAATCTTGTTTCCTTTACAATATCCGCTTTAAAACCATCCAATGTTCCTGCAACGTACCACACTGACATACGAAACAAAAAGGTATCCAAACGTTATAAATTATCTTTTTTGTCTTCTTTGTTTTGAATTATACAAATTTTACTAACATTTTACCTACCAGCAAATTTGAATCTAAAGATTAGCAGCAAGTGAAAAAATTTACATATGTAATAGGTATAGTAATGAAGCCACTGAAATATACAAGAGCGCGTTAGTCGACTAAAACTTTTTAAACTTATAAAGGAAGCAGTAGAAGGACAAAAAGCCGTGTGCATATTCGTTGGTACAATAATGTCACCAAAAACAAACAGAACATTTCGCGGAACGTTAATAACACTCACGCCGGCATCCATAGCTCTTTTCATTCGGTACGAGCCGTGCAGGCTGTGTCAAAGCACGTAATTAGTATTTAGGAAGGTGGTAAGAAAGGCGAGGTCGTGGGCCAGACGTCGGGTATCGATCCACCGACCTGCCCCACACCCGCCCCCCGGGTGGCTGCAGGGGGCCACGCACATCGACCCACCAATTGACACACTTAAGGTAATACTTTGCACTTACGATGTCGCCATTGCTCTTGCCCAATACACTTTTTGTTGAGAAAAACGAGGAAACATTTTCCTTTTTAAATCCACAAACAACTGCTTTACACGATACGAACAAATATTCAGTAATGTAATCGTAATGTTAAGCATACTTACTTTCACCTACTGTTACTTTTATTATGCAATTTCCGTCATAAATAATCACTTATTTTAAATGGACTAACTTTTGCATGGCAGGTATAAAGCTGGCAGAAATAGTTGAAAGTTACAGAAAGCTCGACCCAGTTGGCTTTGAGCCCGTCTGTGGGTCGTAACAGCACATATAGAAGTGAGCGGCATTATTTAACCTTGAGCTTAGCGAATTGCTTTGCACTTTACTGTTTATTATCATTGTAAAGTGCCAAAAATGATCCAGATAATCCAGATAACTGTTATGTTTACACAACAAACGTTACTTTTAAAAGCGTAATTCCCCTTCTCATCCTTTTTGGAGGGACAACCAAGGAAGATAAAATAATGTCTTTATTTCCGTTCCCTCCTTTGTCCAATAAAGATTGGACGCGGATCTGCAAATGTAGAAATGTCTATGGGCAACGGTCGCTTCACTATTATGACGAATTCAAGGCCTCTTGTTCGATTACCACCTTTGCTTTATAAAAAGATCCAGGAAAACTATTCTAAAATTGTATTTAAAAAAAATCTCGGGGTTTTTTTTTCAATTCTAATAAAATTTCTCGTATTTTACAGTTAAAAATTCAACAATGACATTATGTGAGTAATAATGGTTCCATTATTTGATGAACATAATTAAAAATATCCCTTACAGGTCTTGCGTATTAAAAATAGATGTCATAGCACTTACAACTATATCGCTTTTCTCAGTTTACCTTATTCCTTTAAATTTGATTACGTTAACTTTTCTCTGTAGAACTAAAATTCCTCTTTCTTTATAAAGGCAATTTCCGGCAAAGAAATTATGGGTGAAAATGAGCAGAGCACGCAGATTGTCCGGAGCGACGGTGGTGCAGCGGGGCCGGGGGGAGTGGAAGGCAGGGGGTGGACAGCGGGCGCTACAGGGTGGTGTAAAATCACCCGCAATCATTTATAGCCCAAACTACACCTTCAGAATTACTACTTGTCACTAAATTCACTATCTTAAAATATAACTTTAATATGAGGGATATTTTCAAGTGAATTGCATTGTTTTGATATAACGCAGTATGCTTACAAATTAACTCTTACTTTCTACTAACCGTTATGAGACTTTTTACCGTTACTATTAAATAAAATAAATATGCCTTAAAACTATACTAATTCTATAATCGATTAGTTAATAAAACTTCTCTACTTTTAATAATTAAAATACAAAAACAAAACAAAAAAAAGTAGGATATCAAAGTTCAATACTGGTCCAAAAGAAATATAGTAATAATTTCGAAGAATAATTCGGCGCGGCGCAGAAACTCGTCTCGTAGATGCGCCCGAGGTCACGTGGTGAGACTACGGCGTAGCTATTTGTGTCAGGAGCCTGCATCCGTGACCCACTTCCCGACACCCCTTTCCGGGGCCCGCTGCCGTATATTTTGGTCTAGGTTGTGTCAAGCCTTGTTATACCGCCAATAGAGATTTATTTATGTCGCTCTGCATTACTAAATTGCTATCATTTTAGATTAATTGAATTACAAATGTTGAAAATTATTTTTGTAAAAGAAATATTAAAGTGAAGTATAAATTTTAATTTAAATCTCATCAAGTTTGTGCTAATTAGATTGAATGAGGGTTGTAAATAAATAGTTCAAGTAAGTTTTTATTCATCTTCACGAGAGAAATATTATGTCGCGACTAAACTACTATTAAATTAAATGAACATACTTTTATTACCTTATATTACATTTAACGATTATTTATTACATTTATAAAATTAATTCATTCATATACATATGTAAAGATAATAACATAGAAATTAGATTTCTTCAGATAAGACATAATTTAAAAGTAGTCAAATAGCGATAATTTTACACAAAAATTGTGATAAGCGACATCTTTACCGGATTGGGTGAAACATTAGGAATATGTGATTTTCTTCCCAAGAAATAACAGATAAAGACAGCTTAAAGGACACTGCCGTAATTTATGAATACTGAAATACTCAATATTATCAACATTAAGTAGAAAAATCTAGGTTTATTATGTTTCTAGGTTTATATTATTTGGTTTTAAAAACCTAACTAATTGAACTACCCATAGTAAAATGTAATATTTTGTTATCTATTTAAATTGTATCCGTAGCGAAGTAACTTTCGCAGCGATTATAATTAAATGCAATATGCATTTAAATCGGACAAAAATTACAAAGCGCATTTTCCTTAGATTATCGCATACGCGGCAATCGCGCACGAATTACCATGAGTAATGAACGGTTCGCGCCGCCCCTGTCACGATCGTCTCTAATTGCTATATCTAATTAAACAGAATATCATCATAATTGCACAAGGCGCGACGAACCGACCGGCAAGTTAGACGCATCGCTCGCGTTTCAATAATAAACTTTAATGAGAACCCACCGCTAATACAATGTTCATGAATCTTACAATGTCGTACTTTTTTAAGTTACAATTTTTTTTAAATGGTTGATTGATATTACGAAAAAAATATAGTTATAGGTCATCTAAGTGACTTAAAAAATTTGGGTTCAATAAAAGGCAAAAAAAATATGTGTTTTACTGCACTTATGAAATCTAGCTGTATACTAAGAATATAAAGACCGGACATCGTGAAACATAGCTGTCGCCCGCGTCTACGTTCGTGCGGAATTAAAAAGAATCTCAATTAGTAGCCTTCTCCTTCCATATTATGTTCTACATCTATACCAAATTCAAGCGAGATCCGTTTAGCCGTCCTAGAGAAACTTAACAAATACCATCTAAACTTGTAACCAGCTCCCTCTGTTGTTAGAGTTAAAAAATAAAAGTCAAATACGAATTATTTTTCTTGTCTTTATAAAGTTATTCAACTTCAACTCGGATCTCAAATTGCCAATTATGTTATTTGAAGGCGTCTATCTTATCGAATTTTAAATGAAACTAACGTTTACTAAAAAATCAAAGGACCGTAGGCCCTATGTCCTCTCTAATTGTATTTACTATTTTAAATAAATATATCCAATGATTAAATATCGTCATTTGTTAAGGATAATAAAAGAACACATAAGGTACGAATCATTTACTCTCAATTGTGGTTTGTCCTCGCAATTAAGGCAAATTACATAAGGAATCATTTATTTCAATCAAAATATTTACAATGTGTCAAACACGTAATGATGTTATAAATGTATTCCCGGATGTGTTATATAAAATGTTAACATAATTATAAAAAGAATATGTACATATATTTTAATATGTTTTACATAATATTCTATAAGGCCAATAATAAAAACAAAACTACTAAGACACTCTCAGGGGCCATGTAACTTACTTAAAACAGACTCTATATCAATATTCTGAATATTCGTTGTATTTAAAAGATATTGGGTTTCTCTTTTAGTTTTCTTAGTGCAATTTATCGATTCCTCTGAGGATCCACTTTGTAAACGTTTTCTTTTTTTCAAATCAGTTTTCTCGACATATTCCATTTTTTCAACTTCCAATGATATTTCAGTGATATTATTATGTTCACACTCCGGTGATTTAGAACTACCGATTTTTAAAGGTGTATCCAAACTTGTTAATGTAGAATCGAAAATATCATACATTTGGGCTTTATGATCTTTCAATGGTGTATACAGCTTATCAAAGTTTGATATTGAAGATACAGCCATTGCAGTTTCTTTGTAACTGTAATTAACCTCCGTTTCATGGGGATCTTGGTCTAACAATACGCTAAATGTTGTCGCTCTCAACCTTATCGTGACACCATCGTCTACACAAATTTCCATTGAATAGTTATCCTTTAATTTTGATTGTGGACCTGATACTTTCTCATCAGTATCATCATACTCGTAATGAATATAGTTGACGGTATCTTCATTACATTCGTGTATAGATAGTTCTATTTCTTCATCATCTTCATCGTCATCACCATCCTCTATTTTTAGACTATAAGAATCTCCACTCCCAGTAATACTTTCAGAAACATTAGTTTTAATTTCAAAACATTCTGTCGGCATATCTATTTCACGTTTAGCACACGGCGAATCAAGTAGGTCTCGTTCTAATTTTTTAGCAGTTTCGACATCAAAACCTCTTTTGATTAAATCATAATGCAAACTTCCTTCACCATCTTTGAGTTCGGGTTTCTCTGTGGCGCATGTTTCGATGTATTCTTTTATTTTGGATATATCATCAGTATCGGTTACAGATAAAGAATCAGATTTGAGTTTATTTTTTAAAGTCTCATCTTGAGAGCCATCATCGGACCACCTTAACGGTATTTCAACGTCGGACTCGCGTGATCGAGCACGATCTTCTTGAGTCTTGTCTTGCTTTGGTTTAGCAGTTTCGGGAGATGTATGGTCGGAACTTTCAGAGTTAAATGTTTTAGTACAATGAAGTTTTCTAGGCGTCGAAGATTTTCTTCGTGACTTTGTAGGTATAGTTGCGGTCACGGAGGTTAAGTTTTCATTTCTCTCTTTGCTATTAATTTTTTTCTGTTTGGTTGATTCTGACGTTTTTCTACTTTTGCCTCCTAATAATTCTTTTGTTGGTGTAGTTCTTCTCGGTTTTATCTTCATAAATGTTTTTGGTGTATCTCTTTTTATGGGAGATTTAATTTTCTTTACGGATTTCTTAGTTTTATTTGTATCTTGTTTTCTTTTTTCCTTTACTGTAATGTCTTTGGAACTTTTAGAACTAACACGATCCTCTGAAGCGTTGTCGACGGTACTATCTTCATTGATTACACAACTCTGGGCCAAACTTTTTAAGGGGATACTTTTGCCATTAAATAGTGGGTCCTTGTAAGAAACATTTTTTGTACATTGTCTCACAGGTCTACCGGACTTACTTTCTTTATTATCTAATTCAGGTTTAGTTGATGTTATATCGTTATTGGATTTGCTATTTTCTTCTTGGCGCGGTGAACTCTGAGGTACATCAGTGCAAATGATAAAATCTTGATCATCAGGTTTGTAATAGGATCCACCGCTAGAATAATCAGTCGGTCTAGACGAATAACAACAAGACGGAGTAGAATTCTTTTCGTTAGAATCGCGGAGAAATCGCGGAGTGGGAATACTCATTATTTTCACTTCTGACATTGGTTCATCAGGTAAATCTGTACCTAAAAACTTTGGTGTATCCATTTGAATATCGTAAAGAACTTGTTTATATGGAGTTTCTAATAAGTCTGATATGTTTAGTTTGGCTCCAATTACATTTTGCAAAGCTATCCTTTCGTTCTCAGGGGTTTCAGTTCGATCAATACTGCCATAAAAATTGATTTGATTTTTATCTTCTGTCGTCTTCTTATCTTCTAAAATCTTTTTATCTTCTACAATATTTGAATCTTCAACAATCCTTTTACCTTCTACAATATTCTTATCTTCAACAATATTCTTATCACTCCGAATGTTAACATTAGCTTTAATTACTGGAGTTGCTTTTTGTTCACTTTCAATAAAATCGTTTTCTTTATAATCTTTAGAATCTGATTTGTCTTTCTTCTTTTTTTCTTTACTCGTATCCTTATTTGCTCTTTTTTTAGAATTCTTATCTTCATCTGATTTTTTCTTTCTTGTAGCCTTTTCTTTCGTTTTAGTTTTTATCTTTTGTGTAGACTTAACTGGGGTATTTATTCCACATACCGCTGCAGCTCGGATATCAGAATCCCAGTTCTTTTTAGTAATCGCCTTATTTTCTTTTGCTACGTTTGTTTTTAATTTTGGACATTCCGGATTTTCTATACTTATAACATTGTCAGTGACGGCGACGTCTATTTGTACCTTGGGTTCTTTACACGGCACCTGAACTGTTTCATTACATTCTTGGTTGTCAGAGCTATTCCTTTCCGGGCTTTGTTCGTTAATAGTCTCAGTTAATATTCTCCTTGGTGTTGTAAAATCTAAAACTCTAACATGGGAATTTCTACGGGGAGTTGATGACGACTTCCGATTAGGCAATACACCTTGTGGAGTTGTTGTCTTCGGTAATGTTGAATTTGTTGTATTAATTGTATTATCTTTGGACTTCAAAATATTTTCGGTGGATTCCACTGTTTTGATAAGATTTTGTTCAATACTTTCAATATTATTTTGTTCATTGGTTACTATATTAGAGGAACTAACTGGCGGGTTTATGACTGGGGATGTAACATCAATTAAAAGTGGTTTTAATAAATCTTGGGAAGAATTTGAAGTAATTGTAAGTGGTTTGGGATCCGTGGATAATGGAGCTACTGTTCCTGAATCTGTTGAACTTGCAGGTGTTCCTGAAACTATAAATAAATTTTTTTATCAATTTACTTTACTTTAGTAGCTTCTATTTTACTAAAAAATTATAGCCTACCTGATGCAGGAACAAGAATAATTGTTGGCATTGCCATTATTTCATCCGTGGTATATTTAAGTTTTGCCAAACAATGCGATTTCATGTTGTTTTTATAAGCTGGTGTTCCATTTATTAACATATTTGGCATCTGGAACGGAGTCGACGTCGCGTTGCTCAAAACCGGTGGCATTTTTTGTTTTCCACTCAAACTTTCATATGATTTGTCCACAATAACATCTGATAAGATTTTTATTTTATTTTCTTCGCGTTTTCGAGTTTCAATTTTTTTGTTGGCTTGTGTTATTGTCGGAGACGAAGTTGTTATCAGTGGGACACCTTGAGAATTTTTACTGCTGTCGACTGTCAGTACAAAATGACCTTTTGACATCAACTCTTCCTTCGTTAAGCCTCCAATATTAACATAAGTACTAGTGTTTCTTATTGAAGGCGCCCTAAAAATAAGATGTACAAACAATATTATACATATGTGACAAAAAAGCTTCGAACGGCGATATTTTTTTTAATTTTATGTAGAAAAATTTTAGTGGAGTGTTTTTTAAATTCGTATTTAAGCAATAATTTTTTACTTACTGCGCATTATTATCACTTGGTGTGGTTGAATAAGATACATGAACTGAGCCACTATCTGAAATTATAATAAATGTTACTAACATATCTAAGGTCATCTAAAATGATCTTGATGTTTTTGATATTGGGAAACTGCAAGGACCAAGTGGTAGACAGAAAATCACCAATTAAATATTATTAACAAGTGGTAACACTTCCATATCTCAGATTATTCAAGGAAAACAGTGTTTAGGGACAAAAATCATTAATGATAAAATATTTGGCAAAAATATTAAAATGCGAAGCGGAAACTTTATATCCCGTTTTAAATAAATTATGCGAACAGATGATTATTAAATCGAATTAAAATTATTAATTATGGTCGAATTTCAACCAATAGGCGATGTCTAGTCATCACAAATGAATAATAATTACTTACTATAAATGCCAGTTGTGAAGTCCTGGAATGTACCAGCTGTTGATAATCTTTGGTTTTGATTTGTGACATTGTTTGTTAATGAATACGTGTTTTGTTCAGCACTTCCGTTCTTACATACATAGTCTAAAATATTGTTGAATTCTTCAATTTTTTGTACAGATTCAGACTTATTACATTTCATCTGGAATTCAAAATAATGTAATAATTAAAAAGAACATACAGTAGTAAATTTCGTTTTTTTTTTTAAACTGGAAATTGTTCAAGCTTTCTAAGCATTATAACCTTTATAACAAAACTTGCTGCTGCCCATGACACCAACTGCGCGGTATAAAAACAATTTAATTAATTACTTATGTGTTTTTTACATCGAAGTCAAATTTCATCCAGATATGTTGTGCCGTACAGGAGATACATTCAAAGAAACATCCATCCATCCATCCAAATATTCGCATTTATAATATCAGTAAGATTGCAATAAATATATCATCATCATCAGCTCACTATATGTCCCCACCGAGGGGCTCGGAGCCTACCCCAAGTTAAGGGTGATTAGGTAATAAATATATAATATAGTTTATTGGAGAGTACAAAATTTACTGTCATAAATATAATATACATACCAAATCTAGATTATTTGGTCCTGTTTGTGGATTGACAGTTACATTTTTCACTTCAGTCAATAAAGAATTCATATTCACATTAGTATTTGACACTGGACATACTTTACTTTCGCAATCAACATTAGTATGTGAGTTTTTTGTTTCTACTGCTTTTAAAGTTTTTTTCTTAATTGTTGAATTTCCTGTAGAAAATAAAACAAATTAAAGGCCGCCATACACAGATTATTTCAAGCATTTGGTAATAACAGCTTTAAAGGGTAATCAGTTAACATTTGCTCAGAACAGCAATTTGTACTAGGTACAGACTGAAGAAGAGATCCATATTTGTCATATAGTTTGATAAATTCATAAGCATACCACTGTTATATAATGCTATATAAATCTGGATAACAATATTCAATTACTATATATTGTTATTATCAGCTAGTTATCAGGAAGTAGTTATTAAACACAATAATGATAAATCATATTGAAACAATTACATTTTATATGCAAGTCTTACATATAATTCGCATTGCAATTACATTTAATTTAATGCTGGCATGATAAAACAAAAATAGATTTGCCCTAATCACAGAAATAACCCATAAGATTTATAAAAAAAACCTTTTTCCTTTAACATCTGACTTATTAAAAAAGATATTACTGGCTATTGTCTCTGCTTAAGCATATAAAAGAAAACAAATCGCTAAGCAAAAAGTATGTAATTACGCCTCTAAATATGCAATGTTACAGTATGTCATGGAAATATTTTGAAATGTGTTAGTAAAAATGATTTTAACTTCATATCAAGTACTTGTAATCTACAAACCCATTAAAGAAATGATTGTCATATAATTTCATTGCAATTACACATTCAAACAACTCTTATATCTACTTCTAACTATTGTCCACAAATACAAAGACATGCACCGAATTATTAAATAAAAATAATTAGAAGCCTATGTGCCCTTCCAGACTATTTACAAATTTCATCAAGATCCGTAAAACCATTCTGGCTATACCTTTAAACTCCACATGTATCCATTCATCCAACACATATATAATATTATTAATAAGTAAGATTAATAAGATTGAATTGTGAACTTCAACTGTTTAATTCAGACATGTACATATTTACTATTATATAAATTTTAATTTAGACAAAGAGAGGTTAGGTTATGTAATTTGCCTGTGATGTCAAGAGTAAATATTTACTACATACAAATGCTATAGTAAAAAGATTGAGTTATGTCTGTACATACCTGGAAGATCATCTAAAGATGTAGCTTCTACTGAACTATCCAACATTGAATTTTCTATTTGACTGGAAGACTGGGAACTTGGTTGTACTGGGTTACTTGGTGGTACAACATTTACATTCTTAGTAAAACTGAAATAATAAATAATCATTACAAATTTAAGATAAAATTACCTTGCTTTAAAATTGATAAATTTAAAAATGACCTTCATATGAAGTCTTCTTAAAAATTTACAAATAGGTATGCAGGACTATTAAAATGAGCAAAAAACATTAAAAGATACCTTGATTTTTCAATACTTTGCTCCTGTTCATTTAACTTATTTGTATCAACATTTTCGATAAGAAATTTCACCATTTCCAATAAATTGTAACACTGGAGCAATTTTTTTCGTAGTGCGAAAGGCTTACAAGTTTCAACTGAAAATAATATTTGCTTATTGATGAAAAAATTAGTAAATGTTTCTCATAATTTTGGGATAGTTTTACATGAACAAATGGGTTTAAGTGCAAAAAATTGTTAGGTAGCAAATAAAAGAGAGGAAAGTTCGTACAAGTTACAATTTTACAATGTAGTAACTGAAGTCATCTTAACTCATTTTAGATAAAATATGTATTTCCAGCTGTGAGTCATGAACTTATCACTTGTAACAGTAACATTTCCAATCCTTGACAATCGATTGGCGACAATGAATAAACGAACCTATGCATGTATGCAACTTGCAAATTTTAATAATTTCCCTTACTATTATTATATGTATCTTTAAAATTATAGAACCATTTGTTACATTATCTTTCAACCGTTTAGTTAGTAAATTTATTTATTTTGAACTACAAACCGTAAATTTTAACTGCTCGATACTCCGCCAGAATATGTTTCAGTGATGTCATTAAAATCCTGTCATACTCATTTCTTAGTGCGTCTAAATAGGGACTAGCCTGTAGAAATTCATCGTAAGCAGTCATAAGCTGTTCCTCTGCAAGATAACCTGAAGGAAAAAGGGATAAATCGCCAAAAAATCACTTGAATATCAGTAAATAAAACGTCTCATCTTACTCCCGCCAAATAACAAACACCTACCGAGGACAAGCTTCGCTAAATCTTGCGATGGAAACGGTGGAATCGCCATTCTTTTCTTTACCTATGATTATGATTTAATAACGATGATTTCTCAAAAGTCCTCGATATTCAAACACATCGCGGGGTTGCGAATAACATTTTAAAATGTAAAATAAACAGTAAACAGTCGTGATCCTACACAAACATGAACAACGAACTATATTTGACAACTAATTAGTGTTACCACTTCTCACACCTACACTTAGCCTTTACAATGCGTTAATTTCTATAATAATGATTTCGCATCTTAAATAAACACTTACTGATGTAATATGGTTTTGTCTGATAAGAGTAAATTTTAAATTATTAATTTTTACTAAGCATCTATGATTATAATGTACGTTGATTTTATTTTTGCAAGATACCATTTGGTATAATACTCCATCTGGTGTATTATTAATACTCTGCTCCCTAATTAATCTTATTTCATTCATCTCACTCACTCATTCACTTTTATTCTTATTTTAATGGCGGTTATGATCGTCTAATCTGTGTTTTACATTGAATTTTATTTAAATTAAGTTGTACCTATAAAAATATCATTCAAAGATTTTATACGTTTGTTATTATTGTATCTGAACTTTAAAGAAATATCTAAGATATTAATAAAATGAGTACTGCCGCTTCAACTCCGCTTTTTGCTTGTTCTCGTTGTTTCTCAAGACATCCTTTTGAAGAATTATCTCCAGGAGAACAGCTTTGCAAGGTATCCTAGTGAATTTTTGATGTGATCCTCTGTTAACACTTTTACTTATTTACATGACTCATCTATGCCGTAAATTGTATATTTACGTTGTCCTGTTATTTGACGTCATATGACGCAGACATATCTTAATTTTTCAGGAATGTCGCGGGTTATTCCCTGTTGTCAAATGTACCTATTGCCGTTCAGAATTTCAACAAACAAGGTCAGTGCCATTTTCATAAGAGGAAAAGTAAAAGTCATTCACAACCATCTTGTAATCTTTGCAATAAATTATCTAGTACTACATATTGTTAATTAAAGAACATACTTTTATTTTCTTTATAAATAATCTATTTTTGTTAATTCCTGGCACCAATGTTACAACGAATACTAAAACATAATTGGCAACATACATTATATTTCCTTTGTGATTTGATGAGATAATTTTAGCACCAGTCTTGGTATATTTTAATTATAGCCCATTACTAAATTTCCCATACGAAATACTATCTTTGTATTTTCAAAGAGAAAGTGGTAAATAATAACGCATTGAAACACATTACATTGTGAGCACCTTGATTGTCCATTTCTTATATAAATAAAATAGTTAAAATACAAACTAAATCATAAATGAGAAGCCATTAGTGTAGCATTAAATCATATGTGGCTTTATGACCCTGTTTCTTATATCTAATATTACCATATCTAACTTTCACTATTACAGCTAGTGGGTTAACACCCTATTTTAAATAGCAAAATTTAGTTTGCTCCATTCAAAATAATAGATACACACTACAAACATGTAATATATCACACAAATAAGTAGTTGTACAGATACTCTGATAACTTTAGATTGATATTGCACATTAATAGTTGTGTTCTATTACGAAAAACTAAAATGAACATATCATAATTGCATTAATATTCTGTAATAGCTATAATCTCTTCATTTATTTGTTACAAATTAAAAGTTTTGTAATAATATGGAGTTATCTTATTGTTATAATTTACCCGTGAAACCCTTTTTTTTACAGTAAATCAAACACATCATCAATTTGTAAAAAATGTGAGGCAAATGTTAAATTATATGGAAAACCTACAGCATGTGAATATTGTAATACTATTGCAGCATTCATTGGTAAGTTACAATTAAAAAAAAAATCTAATAAGGATATAAAACCTTTTTTTTCCAATAAACTTAATCACATGCTTTTATTGTATTTTATGCTTTTCCAGGTAATAAATGTCAACGATGTGCAAATTCTGAAAGGAAGTATGGGCCAGCGGTAACATGTGAACAATGTAAACAAAGGTGCGCCTTCGATAGGCACGATGATAGCAAAAAGGTATTTTGAAAGTTTTGATTATATCTTACTAATATTATAAATATGAATGTTGTGATGAATAGATGAATGGATGTTTGTTTGTAGGTATCTCCAGAACGGCTGAAAGGATTTAGCTAAGATTTGTCATAGTTGTAGAATATAGTCTATAGAAGAACACATAGGCTACTTATTAAGTTTTTTTAATTCTGCTTAATTTAATTGAGATGTAGTCGCAAGCGATGTCTAGTTTATCAATATTAAAATTATGAATTATATTAACATTCATTACAAACACACACTACTGAATCAATTCAGTAGTATATAATTCAGCCTCTAATATTCAATGTATTTTGGAGCATGTTTAGTGCTCACGATTGGCTCTGGCAATAGTAATTAATATTTAACATTAGAATATAGTTAATCCATATTATATTTTTTCCTATAATTACCTTTTATTTATTGTACAAAAGCAATTATCACAGCAAAATATTGAACATGTTGCAGGTGGATGGTAAGTTGCTGTGTTGGCTGTGCACGCAGTCCCTTAAGCGAGCCTTGGCAAGGACCAAACAACATCTCTCTGTTGACAGACACAAGCATCGTGGTCACAAGTCAGTTGACATTTATTATATCAAATTATTCAGATTAAAATGGAAATGTCATAGAATTACTCATTTTCCATTTCTGACTCGATCTCCCTTCTCTTCCTTTCTTTCGTGCCTAAAATGTTTTCTAATTATATTTTTATTTTTTGTTAATATTTAAAATGGTTAAGTTTGTTTGCAACCAACAGGTTAACAAGTAGTCACAAAGACAAGCGCAAATCGGACATGATGAAATCGAAAAACTCCGGGGACTCTCTAAATGAATCTCAGCCGTCAGAGAAAAAATCCAAATTAAATCCATTGCAAGGTTAGTCAAACATTTGTTAAGGAAAAAAGTAAAAAATAGAACAAAAAAAAAAACTTTTTTATAATTTTGTAACAATTTTATATTTTGTATAGAGAACTTTTTACATTATTTTTTTTTAAATGTGCTTTTATTTGACTGTTTTCTTTGGCAGTTATCTGTAGAGTTTGAATACTGTTTTCCAGGTGAACTGGACCCAAACAGCTCAGACCACGTAGTAGCGATGACGCAGCTGAAGGAGACCATCGCCAGTCTGCAAAAGAAAGTTCAACAGAAGGAAATGGAGCTGCTCTCTAAAGACAAACTGGTAAATATTCTGTAAAAAAATTATTTACAACTAGGTTGATGTCTAGTATATCCAATTCAGATATTTTTAGTTCAAATTTAGATTTTTTCAAGACAAATTTCAGCATTTCTTTATGAGATCATATCACTCACTACTATATTTTCCAAAATTTAATATAATTTGTGATAAGAATTTAGGAATCAAAGTTAAAATGAATTAAAAACAAATGACTTTTTTGAAAATACTTGTAATAATTTTGTATTAAGTTGTTTTTTTTTATTTTAGATTACGGAGTTAAAAGCTCAACATCACAACAACACAACAGATCTACGTAATGAAATGAAGAACAAAGAACGAATGAACGAAACTAAATTCACTCTGATGAACACAAAGATACAAAACTTACTAAAAGAGGTGGCAACACTTAGCAAATCTGCAAAGAAAAATAACAAAAATACAAAATCTTTGTTAAACAACACTGAAAATAGTGGCAGTGGAACTGACAGCCCCAGTACTAACTAAAAAAAACTATACTTATTTTAATCTTCGTTTCTCAAACTGAGGTTTATAAACTACCACAATTATTAATCAAAATGTTATCCCTATTTATACATATTAGGGATGCACGAATTTAAAAAAAATATTTTAAAGGTTTAAGATTTAAACTTCTTACCATTGGTTTCTGAGACAAAAATCTCTGCATAAAACATATCGACATCCCTGTCTTTTATCTTTGACAAAACAGAGATAACAATATGTTTTAAACGTGGATTTTAATCTTAGAAACCCACTGGTAATTATAATTTTCTAATATCAGAATATTGAGCCTAAATATTATTTTTTTCTATTATTCGAAACGTTAACATTAAATCGGTTCGTCAAATCATTAGTACTGTAGCCCACCGAATTAGTAAATTGAAATGGTACTGGGGCAGCCATTGTAAGTGTCCACTCCCGAAATATATGTTCATCAAACATTAATAAACTGGATAGAACCGTGTAGTATAAATATACAAAGAGAACAGATATATTATACTTGATTGAAGCAAGTTGCTTGTACATACTTTGTTCAGTGACAAAATCTAGTACTACAATAATAGCAAAAAATCATTTGACTAGAAAGTACAGACAAGAATTGAAATTAAATAATTCAATATAAAATATTTGTATCATGTATTGGCAAAGTACAGTTCTACAATCAATTGTTAAGTAAATTGTATTAAAATCAAATAAATAATTATAATATTCATAAAATCAAGAATAATTTTTAATTTTGTAATCAGATAATTAGAAATAGGTTTTGCAAAGTGATACAATAATTTTGATTATTTTTTTTTAATAAAATATATGTATATCGAATCGTAACGTGCATTCCATATGTATGTATAATATATATAAAGTATGTATAAGAATAGGATAGAATATATATGACATAAATAAAATTAAAAAAAAATAATGAAACGTTCAATCTAAAAATGTGGATTATAAATTATTTTGACTGAAAATTATTCTTATGTCAATTTTAATTAACAATATTACGTTTCGTAAAATGTATGGTGTATAAGTTAGATTATCTGTGGTTAGTACTTACGTTTAAAAAAGTTTCTTAAAGGCGTATCAAAGCCAAATCGTTTGAGAAACTATCCTTTTACTAATATTCAAACAATGGAAAAATATTTTTCCTCTTATTTTTTTACTCTACAAATGGTTTCATTTGTAGAATTTTATAAACTTAATCATAAGTAGGCTCCAATTTGACATTTTTTTTTGTTTAATTTTAAGAGTAATTAGCGTTAAGATGAATAATTTATTCGTTAGAATGAAGCAATAGTTATTAAGACGAGAAACAAATGCGGGTTGATGGTATTAGATCAAAAATATTTTTTTTTCAAAAATCAATTTTTGAGATTATAATTTTTATATTTCTCGAAGCGAAAGTGAACCAATAAAATGTTTTTTATTAGACCAGTGAGATGAAATAATGTAAACGCGACGATTGTGATTTTTTTAATGAAAAACCGATAAAATTGTGAACAAAAGCCTAAAGTGAATGCCAAAAGGATTATAACCCATTCGATCAGAAAAATAATTATCAGAACTGTATGTAATTACAATATTATTTGTAATTTTTCTTATTTTACGAATATTTTTGATTGGTAACACTGAAGCCACGGAGATGTTTATATTTTTAATTAATTAATGTTACCATATAATTAAATTTACATTTGTTTACATATATTGTCTCATATCGCTGGTCGCAGCAAGCGTGATTTTTTTTTTATTTTGTAATAACAGACGCAAATGTGCGCCATATTGATTGAAGCCATTGTTATAAATGCGTAGTATTTTAGAACGTGGTAATTACTAGCATATCAATGTGATTTCGTTTTAATATAGAACTGTATCAATGTGTCCCAAATAATAAGTAAACTAATTGGAATTATGTATTGTTTTAATAAATTTCAGATCAACATGTAAAAGAATCAATGAATGAACAAATGTAGAATTGTGTTTAAGTGGTTTTATTTTTTTACAACAATCAAAATAAATAATTTCCTTTGATGGTTAATGCGTGGTTTTTGCAAGAATTGGTGTTTGGCTGAGTGCAGTGATATCGGGCTAACTTGAAGTCACTTTATACCTCACCTTAATACCTTTTTTTTATAAAAAGCGTAAAATCAAATAACTTTTATCTAGAGTATGATTCACATTGACGGATTCGAATCCTCGACCACGTGATCTGATTTTCGTACTCTTTACTATTATTTATGAATTAAGGAGATATGGATAGTATTTTTAAATCCAAAGTGTGTCCTATTTTTGCTTGGATATTGGAGCGTACTTTGGTCATCATTATTTGTTTTTTACTCGCCACAATTATAAGGAGTATATTCTATTACACACGGTATGTCAATGTCGTATGAAGCACGCTTTATCTGAGGCCAATGGCTACGGATGACACGACTCCTGTGGTTTCCACGAAAAACGACGATTTGTTAGATATGGTTACTATTTCCGACATGCACAAAGGCGACAATATTATATTTAAGAAAAACGTACAAGTAAAACATGTCGATTGAAGAGGTATAAATGATGGGATGACATGCTATTAAAACGTTACTCTCTTTTGCCGTACGGATCTACAATTTAAGTTATGTTACAACTAGTCGCCCGCGACTGTTTGCCCACGATTAAACGATTAGTAGTAGACCAAATTGTTCTTACAGACTATATTCTACATACATAGCATATTTTATCGAGATCCAATGAGCCGTTCTGCAGATACCTTCTAAAATACATCCAAACATTTGCATTTATAATATTAGATTGCTGCACTACTGGGAACTTGAGTTGGCACTTCCGTCGCAACAGTATCCTTAGTGTTGACGTGCCAAATCCAATGAATAGTCATTTCTACTATGACTCAGTAATAACTTGTGTATTTCTTTTGATTCATACATTGTGGTTATATGTGACTTGGAAAGTAAATTGTCTTTGTAAGTAGACACCTGTGGGAATTTGTTGTGGTTTTATAAAACCTACAAAGGTAGAATTTATAATTTAAAACTTACACCGACACTTTCGCCTGAACAATTTACACATACATAAAAGGTATTTAAATAAAGAAAAAAAAAGGTATTTGGGGTTATAATATTTAGGGTTAGTTTAAAATTAGGATTCATACAAAAATATTCCGTTCGCGTCTCATCCGATGAATTGGGAAAATACAATCTATAATTTTGTTTATTTACTCTTTTAATATAAAAGCTGCTAACTACACCTCTGCATTTAAATTCTATGCCGACTTGACTAGTGAAATACTGCGACTTAACGGTTTAATATCAAGTATAATCCATTTTCTCATATTCCGCTTATTTGGGTTACAAAATAAATGTTGACTGATATGGAAATATAGATTGCCCAAACGATTACGAGAATCGATACAATTAATTTCCTATTAAATATTTATTAAAAATATGAAAGTGTGGCAGTCATAAGTGATATTTTAATTATTGCTGACAAAGCGGAAAAACCATATGCAGGTTACTGATAAAACATGTACATATCTTCTTGTTTCAAAAAATTGTTCGACACTGCCAAGGTAACTCTTTCGCTTAGGGTTCGTTCTTAATACTTTGGTAATCATTATCAATTATAATGGACCTACAAACATGCATACATTATAATAATAACAACTTAAATGTCAATTATCTAAATGCCTTTCTCTCTTATTTTGCTTTTGTAGTCAAATGATATTTGAAACAAAATCATCGTGTTCCCCTTTTTTCAATGAACTGAACAATTGTTAAGTCGTGCTGCGCATTTGCAGTTGATATGCAACATGACATTGATTTGATAAAACAAAACGAGAAAAACATGTCTTGAAGATACAAACATTTTACTCTAAGCACGTTCGAGGCTTTTAAGTGATTTTTCATGCTGTCTATCTTCGGTCTGTTCATACTTTACAATCGATTATGAGTGTTACACTTTCTGAGTAAAATGTACACAATACTCTGACGCATCACGACTCTTGTTATCCATTAATAATATAAAAAATAAAGATATACATCGCCGAACTGAAAAACTAATAGCAATTACAATAAAACTAAGCTTCATGAATAAAAGTCATGCCTGTTAAAGCAACGAGATTATACTGTAAGTTTTTGTAAGGTAAGTATTGGCGATTCTGTTTGGCCAATTTGTTAACATTTGTTGCCCTAGGACCGAGCCCTTGGCTATTAGGATACATCCGATGGCAACAAGTATCATAAATAAAATATCGTAAGTGTATCATTGGTTTTAAAATTCATCGGGAACAATTACGAACTTTTTATCGTATATGGTAAAGTGGTATGCTAGAAATGCTATATTTTATTTTATGTAGATGTTTTCAAGTGTTTATTCCTTGCGAATTTTAACACATGCGTCATGAATTATCAAACATTTAAACATAAATTTACCTATTAACGTAAATATTTAAATTGCAGACAAATAATCAGTGCTTCGTACAGTGATCTGTTTGAATACAAAAACATAATTTTCTTTCCTTCTCTCACGGAGCGTCAGCACAGTTTGTACTACTATTCCATACCGTAGGTGTCTACCAGCCGTCATATTATCTGAATTCACTCCTTTCTTATGCAACGCTATCCTCTTGCGCACAATCTTGGTATTCCACTACCTTTGTATCCATATCCATCTACATTTAGTCTCATTATTTTTCTGTTTAGAAATATAGAAAAGGATATTCTTTTACCATATTGCTAATATATTTTCAGATAACCATATTTTGAGTCATTTTATACAGGAAAATATGAATACACAAGGGTTTGCCGTCACAAAATCTATGTAGTTCTAAGGTAGTGAAACCGCATTTGGACGGGAAAATAGCTTCCGTATGAAATGAATATAACGATACGCAGAAATTTTGATATTCAGAAACGTCACAAAATTCTAACAACTGTAATAAAAACAGTTTAATGGAGCGGATATGTATGTCTGTGAATTCGAAATTTCTATTTATTTCTATTGAAAGATTTTCCCAAAGGCATTAAAATTTTAAAGATTACTCAATACAAATTAAATACCTACTTCGGGGCAATTCAAGTTTATACTAAAAGTCTAAAATGTGGCAGTAAAAAAAAATCACTGCAACTTTTTACATTAATTTTAATGTAAAAAGATGTTTAAAAGAACTTTTTAATGAAAGTGAAGTTAAGTGCGTACTTCACGTTTTTTTTAATACATTCTATTTGCGAATGAAATCACAGGAGTCAGCTAGTCAGAGGAAAAATAAATAAAAGTTTGTAAAATGTTCATCGACGTAACCACAAGTATTTTCATTTTAACGTGAATAATGAATAAAAATGTATTAAAAAACCTTATCAATTGATATATAAACGGTAAGTACTTAGCAGTGGTCATCGTAGGTTCATTACTTAGTCACTCGTTAGCGTTCGAACTACACACCTTAGAGATGCATTCAGAAATTATTTTTATTTTCGCGTTATGCGGATTCGTTCATTCGAAGTGTAAGTAATATTGTTAATTTAAAAATATTTATTAAGTTATAATTTTTATACTATCAACAATTCAATTGAAATGTGCATTTTTATATAATTTCAGTGATAAATTTATCGTGCAGTCAAATTCGCGATATTGTCGATGGTCACAACTCACGTAGGCTCCAGTTGGCTCAAGGAGCAGTGCCCGGACATCCCGCCGCTTCAGATATGAAATATATGGTTGGTAAACATAACTTGATAAAGCGCAAAAACTCAACTTGTCAAAGCCCCATTTCTATAATACTTTTATTTTTTTAACTGCTAACAATGTATTTGTTTAAAAATCGTGATTTTAACAACACACTTTTTGTTTTCGGGTTGATTTTATTGAAAGAGTTTGAAGTCTGATTAAGACGATAGTCTCAACTCGTGTCATAACTTACAACCTTTGATACACCTGTAAAATGGTCAACAATAACTTTTCAGACTGATACTATAAGGATGACAAATTTTTGACCAGTTTATTTTTTTCAACTTAAATTTATGTTTGCTAATTTTAGGTTTGGGATGAAGAATTGGCAGCAAAAGCTAGGAAGTGGGCTTCGAAGAATGTATTCGATCATAATCCGGACAAAACTATCGGTAATATTTACCAAATTAAAAAAAAATAACAATAATTTTAAGTCAAAATATTTGCGATAACGATGCGATGATTTTTTTCAGGCTCTGGTAGATTTAAAACAGGTGAGAACCTATACTTTTTCGGTAGTAGCAATCCGGATGCCAAGATAAATATAGAGCAAGGTCTTAGTGCGTGGTTTAATGAATACAAAGACTACAGCTACGGTCCGATGACAATGAGTCTATTTGATGGTTCATCACAAGTTCAAATTGGTCATTACACGCAGGTAAATAGTCAAACTACTCGTATTGTATTTTATGTGTTTAACGATTTTATGTGCGCGCAACATTGTGCTAATCTACCTCAGCTGACTTCGAGTCAGAAATAATGTTTGTACAATATTTACAGAATACAACTGGGAATATGAATAGCTAACCATATACATTCTTCCAGGCTATGTTCTACGTCTATGCCAAAGTGTCGGAGACACGTGTTAACCAACATCCTTTCATCTATCCATAAATCCAAACTTATCCATTTTTAATTTAGTAACAATATATATAAATATAATCTTACTAAATTATAAATACTATAATATTAATTACATTATGAACTTGTAGATGGCGTGGGCTGATACTACTTACGTCGGCTGTGGATTATCACAATATTCGGAGGGCGGTATGAAAACATTCCTCCTTGTTTGTAATTATGGGCCAAGGTAAGTATTTTACATTACCACTATTACCATGTTTTACAACTAAAAAAAATCGGTAATCGTTTTATAATAGTCTTATCGCTTTAGGTTGGCATCTTAAATAGTTTTTAAGCGTTACGCCGATTTTATTGTTCACAAATCCTCTATAGAACAGGACGTAATATTTAGATATTGTCAGTATAAGTAAAATCACATTGTATTTCTGTAAATATAATTTATGAATTCTACCGTAAAATAATAATAACAAGCGTAATAATGATTAAATATTGATCAAGCCTAATTTAAGCACATTTATTCTTTTCAGTGGTAACATCTTAGGACAGGTTCCATACACAGCGTCAGAGGAGGGCAGCGAAGGCTTATTTTGCAGCATCGGAGACTGCAGCGTGCCTTACGGCGACAACTGCTGATACCAACTCTCATTCTATCTGTATTGTACATTCGAGGGCTTTATTTAAGATACATTTCGATGCAATGCTATTTAATTTTCATAGTACAATTAGGTCAAAAATGTGTCCAGCAATATATTAAGTCCAAAATAGTTTATATGGTGATAGTTTGCTTTTCCATATTCTGCCGACTCGACCGTACAATTTTTCTATATGTTATTTATTGTCCTTCTGTGTATAGCAAAAAATACTCTAATTTATTAAATTACTCTGCATCTCAAACGTTTTTTTTTTCATTTGTGAACCTGCTTACTCTGCTTTTTGCAACCATTGTTAAATATTGTACAGTAAATTTCAATTACCCTTTTTACGATTAAGAGTAGACTTGTTAGTTGTAAGTTATTAAAAATAAACATAATAAAAATCTCATATTAATTATGTACTATAATAATTAATTATAGTGATGAAAAACAATTGGTTAACCGACGATCGCGCGGGCGATTTTTAATCCCGTGAGAAACAAACGTTTGAATAAAACGCTTTTTTAATCTCGACGTTTTTTTATCGTGCAGTTTTGAAAAACAAGAGTTAAAGCGTTCTTCGCTCTAAAGGCGGTAACGCCGATTCCCAAAATCATAAGTTGGCGTGTATATCATACTTTGGAAGTAATTAATTCGTGTTAATAACTCTTCCTACAGTTTTGCGGTAAGAGTTGACCTACTCTAATTTCCGTATGTTACTTCCAGTAATTGTATTGGAAGTTCTAAATGTTCAATGACTCAGAACAGTTCGAACACGGTCAAAACCATTCACAAATTGACATCTGTCATGTCATGATTCATTGAAAATAATGACAATAGTTGAGAAGATGCAATAAGTGTGCTGCCGCATGACCGGTTTGCGTTTGCGGCTGCGGTAGGATATCGTAGTGGGAATGCTTTACAGTTTTAAAATAAGCGAACTAAAAGTTTGGGGACGTAAGATTTGTACACAGTTCCTAAAAGAGCTGAGAGCAAGGAAAGATCCTACGAGTACGGTGCGGTGCCACAGCGAGAACGCAATGCATGTGAAACATCTCTCTAAGAAGTAAAAGTGATGGAAATTAAACTTACTTATAGCTGAATTAAGTAATCCCTACTTTCATCAATATCCGAATAAATATTAGCATTATATGCTTTTAAAGTAATTGTAAATTATACGATTTGGTATTTGAGAATTTAAAGATATGTATGTTATCCTCGTAATTCGTCAGTAGAAAAGAGTACGACCGTGGGATACAAAGACATAATACAGAGTTTAGGTGCGGTGACCCTTAGACAAAGAGGTTAGGTTGGATGAATACTGCATGAGAACAGAACCGGTTGCATTCGCTTCCCCTATACCACAATCGCATATTGGAGATATCTATCAGAGGACTTTATTATTTTTTGTAATTTATTGAACATCTGGAATAGCTGAGGGTGTACGCGTATAGATCAATTATATAAAATTCTTCCTGTTACTGAGAACTTACATATACCTGTACTGAATCTCTTTGATTTTTTTTAAGTAATAGAAAGTAAGGCTTTGTTTTTTTTTTCAACTTTTAAGTAGGTACACATGTTTTTTTTTTCTTTTAATTTGCAAATGTTAAAACTAAGCTAAGTACAAAAAAAATGGTTTTCATGATACAGACAACAAAATATTTTTGTGATTTAAGTTTATTTTTGTTTCTCAAGTATAGTTGTAGTTTAATCGACAACCCTAATATATTGCGGTTACTTCTTGTACTGACGGCGACGTCTTATTTTTATTTTATAATTATAAGGAAAAATCTTGAAATTCTCACCAAAAACAATTAAATCAGTATCATAAACATGAGTACATTAATGCCAAAAACACACATAATATCATAAACATAATGTTGCATCTAGATTAAGGGTATTAATAGTTTTTTTTTTAAATAAGAACATTTCTCGATTTTTTTGTAATACTTTTTAAAGGTACGTTAAATTATTCAAATTTATTCGTTATTCTTAATTGTTAGTAGCACAGTAGGTAATGCAAGATAACTAAAGAGGTATCGCTGTACCGAGTGTTTATTTAAAGTGAAAGCGAACAATATCTATGCATTTGCCTCATCAAGTACCAGGAAATAAGGTGAGTGTTAAATTCAATACCAAAAAGCCAACATGATATGTCTTTCATTCGCTATTGACCTGTAAACTTGCATTAAGAATATTTAATAATTGAATGGTACCGCTTTCACCGGTGTGACAACCCTAAGCCCGAGGCGATGACATGTGAGTCATTTCGCCGGCGTCAATTTTATACCTTTCGACCAAACGCCGGTCTACTATAAAACATAAGTACTTAATTGCGAGACGTTTGCGTACGAATCTCAGTTACCGTTTCGCTTTACCGGCGTACATTAGAGATCGTCATGATGAATTTTAATATCATTCTACTATTCGCAATATGCGGTTTCACTCAAGCTAAATGTACGCGTTGTATTTTTTAAATTAAATAATAATAATTACTTACCTAAAGTTTGTTTCGAAGTAACATTTTAAATTGTGAATTTTTCAGTGATAAATCTGTCGTGTAAACAAATCCGTGTGTTCGTTGATGGTCACAATGCTCGGAGATTGCAGCTGGTAAAGGGTCAGGTGCCTGGACAGCCTCCTGCTTCTGATATGAAGCTAATGGTATTTAAACAAAAACTTTAGTAGTTGTAGTATAAAAGCACATATATGGAAATTACAAACCCGTAATTAATTCTGAACGTAAAGTGAAAACGTGTTAAAGTTTTTAAATAGTGAAATAACTTAGCGTACTAAATAACTTGTGTTATCGTAACAAATAATTTGTAATAGATGAAGGTATTTGTAAAATGTAAATATGTTTGTCAGCTTTACATATTTTTAATTGCATCATAAAAAAACTCTTTTTTTGTTCCCAAAATCAATCAATTTATTTTAAATGTACACAAAAAAAAACTATAAATGTTATACATATTTATTTAATCGGTATTATCGTTTACGACGTAATATCAATAGACGGTTTAGATCATGTTTTTTTGCAATATGCCGGTTTTCATATTATCCTTATTCGAAGTTTTTTTTTTTAATAAACCTTCAAGATCAATTTGTTTTGGTGAGTGCGAACATGCACGATGTAAATTACTAATTAATCTGTGTCTTGTAAACAAACGTTTGAAAGTTTTCATTAAGTACTTTTATTTCAAATGGCCAATTTGTTAAATTGTAATTATAGGTACGGTTGATAAAATCGTGATTATTTTGTCAGTCTTTTCGCATTCTCTGACTGAGACTAGCTAATGCTCGCGATTTGTCAGCTTGAAGTATAGTAGCCTATGTTACTACCGCACACATAATCTAAGTTCCAATTAAAGTCCTGTCAGAATTAGGACAGTCGTTCTAAAGATTACTCAGCACTAATTCGAAAAGACAGGTGAATTTTTTTTTTTAAAGCAATTACTTTAGTATTTATTATTTAATTAAGGTTTAATAGTAACACTATGTATAATTAATTATAAGTAAAGACGTAATTACTAGTTAATTGTTTGTGTAAATATAATTCTAATCATAGATTATTACTTCTTTTCCCAGCATTATTTTGGTCTCATATCGTTTAATGACTTATGCATTTGTTGTTTTTTAGATGTGGGATAACGAATTGGAGGCAAAAGCGGCGAAATGGGCGTCTAGAAATAATTTTGCGCACAATCCGGATAAAACAATCGGTAAATATAATAATAACACGATGCTGAGATTGAAATGGTTGAGTAATAACTTCTAGAACTACAACTAAAATCTGAATGATTATAGTTCTTACGAAGTCTACCTAAGTTGTGTCGCATAAAAGTTTTACCTTGAAATAGTCTTCCTATATACATTTTCATGTGAATTGTAAATGTAAAAAAAAGAAAACGATTTATAACATAAGTAACGCTGTGCCGAGCAAACAAAAACAAAGATTTAATGTGAATATTAAGTGGATTTTTCCTGCGGTTGTTTAGTTTTTCAATTTTTTACAGCGCAAGGAAGAGAATCAGCAGATCATCTGATGTTTATATCATTTAAACAATCCATTAGTTAATGTTTAAATTGGTTGCCTTTCCAGGTTCTCGTAGGTTCCATACTGGTGAAAATCTTTATTGGTACGCGACAACAGACCTAACTCATAAACTAGACGTAGAGAGCAGTCTTAAATCTTGGTTTGATGAACATCGGAACTATTCGTACGGGCCTTTGACTATGCGCGATTTTAACAGATCGACAAAGAAACAGATTGGACATTACACTCAGGTAAAATTTGATATTTAATGAGTATGTAACTGGTACATATAAATATTATTTAATGAATTAAACCAACTGGCATTGTATTACGAAACATCTATTAAACCGATTTAGTACAAAAAATTATGATCCTGTAAGACGAGACAACAAATTTAATTTGGAGTGTTTATATAAATATAAATTGTCCTTTACTTATGTTTTTTATCAATTCCAATGCTAAACACCAAGGAGGTCGGTCGATATTTAACAACATCCTTGGTTTATCTTTTTAATAATTGATGGGAAAGTCATTGAATCCAAATTCTGTAAGATTAATTGGCGTGAAAATTCTTTGCTTTGTTCTGTTGGCATTGAATAAGTTCATATATGTTTTATTTGTATTTTTAGATGGCGTGGGCAAACACAATTTATGTTGGATGTGCTATATCCCAATACACGAAAAATAATTTTAAAGAATTTCTTGTTGTTTGCAATTACGGACCAGGGTGAGTATTAAAAATTTATACCTAACCGTTGGTGTCACTAACTAACAAAAAAAAATAAGAAGTAACAATATGTTCGTGGTTCAGAAGTAAAATACGTGAACGTGGGAATCTTTTTTCCATTTAAATTGTACTGCGATTGATATTTTGAGAACTTGTGGTAAATCGATCGCATTAAAATTGTTATTTTTAAATAATAACATTTAAAGTCCTACTATTATACTACAACAGAGAAAGGTTTTGTTTCGAATATACTTTAAAACATTTTTTTTAATTAACTAGTCATCCAAGTATGATATGTTTTTTACCGAAAACAATATTTCTTTGTTACGCAACATTAATATTTATATATTATATTTGTTTTCAGTGGTAACTACATTGGGCAGAAGCCGTACGAGTCAAGGCGGCGACGTGGCGGTACAAACGCACTCGCATGTGGCGCTAAAAACTGCAGCCAACGATACGGTGATAGATGTTGAAAATTAAAAAAAAAATTAAAAATTATATTTTTTGTAAATAATTATTTTAAACATAATAAATTTATTTTAAGGTATTTAGTAAGGATTATTGTTAATGAGAATTTTAATAATTAATGTGATATTATTATATTTCTCATTTATGATTGGAATAATGAATTTATTAAAATGAATTATAAAATAAATTGTCTATTTCTTCACCGTTTACTCTCTATAATAATAAATTGACTTAAAAGAGGTTGACTAAGAATAAAAAAACTACTTAATAGGAATATTAAATTGCCTTAAATGCAGACTTTTAAAATTACACAACTTATGTTACCAAGTAGAAAGGTAACTAGCATAAGGAGAAGCAGAAGGAGAAGAAGAAGACAGAACATAGTGTGGAAGAGCACATAGGCTACCCATTAACTTTTTTCTAATACCGCGCGGACGGAGTCGCGGGCGATAGCTAGTTACGGTATAATTTGGTGACATCATAGAAATATATATTATATTATAACTGCGTGTGCTGTCTCTTGAATATATGTATATATAGAAAATATATCGTAAAATGCCTTACTACAATTTATATCTCTACATATAAACATATGTATAAATGTATACGCCAAAATATATTTTTTTTATTTTAGTTTGTCAGTCTGTTTGTTCCGGCTTATCTCTGAAATGGCTGGACCGATTTAGACGAGACTTTTATTGGTAGGTAGATGGCGTAATAACTAGGGTTACGTTTATTTTAGAAAAAATATTTTGTTTTAAAAAAATGAAGTCATATTGCAATTTCTCAGCACTGTCCAGCACCGCGCCGCTCAAAGACAGTATTTCAGGTGGACGAAGTACCGGGCGCAGCTATTAGTATTAATAAAATTAATTTAAAGAAACATACAAAAGGGGCTAAATTGCAAAACTGAGAAAAACATTGATACTTTAGCATATGCAAGATGTACACACGAGTAAGATTATATCATAGCACATACATAAGTCATCTTCACTTGTAATGTATCGGCAAACATTTATATGTACATAAATGCTTATGTATTTGCCAGACCTTTAAGAGGTATTCCATAAACGTGAGTTCCCAGTTCGCACTGTCGAAACATTTACATAAAATATATTATATAAACACATCTTTGATACAATTAATAATATAGGGATATCAGTATTTAATATCGATTAACTTTATACTAGCTGTCGCCCGCGACTCCACCCGTGCGGAATTAAAAACAACTTAATTAATAGTCTATGTGATCTTCCAGACTATGTTCTACGTCTATGCCAAATTTCAGCTTGAAATACCTTCAAACAAATATCCATCCATCTAAACTTTCCCATATATAATATTAGTGAGAAGTAAGATTTTGCGAACATGACGTATTTGCGAACGAAAATACATTTTTTATGTCTGCCTGTATGGCTCTTTGTCTATCTGTCCGCAAAATCGGCATTTGTTCCGACTTGATCAAAAATGACCGACCATTCCGCGCAAAATATGTGATTGGTTTGAATAATTTAAATGGAAGACGAAGGAGGTCACCAGAACAACACAAATCCTTTCCTAATTAACAAGAAGAGGAAAAAATTTCCTGCCGAGTTGTTAATGAGATCGCGTGCGTATTGTGATGTTCCAGTTAAAATTTCTTGTGAATCGAATAATTTGCTTCGATGCGCCGCAAAAAAAGTGCAGCGGCCGTTTACACTGAATACAAAGTCGTGAGTCATTACGTCGGTGACCATACTGACCTATATAGCTTATAATTTCGGTACTTCACTACGTATGAGTAACAGTATTTGTTTTCCTATATTATAATGCACTTAAGCTAAGTTTGTAGATATTAATTTAAACTTTTTTCATTCTATCGCCTCCAATAATAGTTAAGCTTCATCAACAATCGTGATCAAATAAGTACTTTCAACTTGTATCAAGCAACAAAAAAACTGTGACGTTAAACATTTTGTCGGTCTAGAATTAGAACCTAGATACGCGGCTACTAACTACTGCGCCAAAGGCATTGTATACTAAATATGTGTGTTTATGTATGTGTTTGAATCTATAAAACGTTAATTACAGGATATAAAATAAAGATGCTCATAATAGAAATTCAATATTCGAATATTTATGGTAAATAGGACAATAAATAATGTGAACTTGCAATAACTTACATATGTACATTTATTTATTATGTCACATTTGTTGTTTTACATTATGTACCATGTAAACATATTATGTAACATATAATTAATATTTAACTCATGTATAAGCTTTTTTTTTTTACACAGAGCCTTTATGTCCGGTCATTCCAAGCTCTATGGTATTCGTACAAAACGATACAATCAAGTGAACGTTCAAATACAATGTCAAAGACACTTTTATAATGCGTAGTCAACTTATTCATATTCTATGGCTGCATGAAGACTGCATTTTGATGGAAATGTAATGTTAATTTTTAATCGCTAAATAAATCATACGGATTCTCTAACCATTATTTTAGACATATAACAGCCAAGCTAAAACCGAGAAACTGAATCTATTCTTTATTTATTTATTGAATCTAATTTGAACACACGTTCTTTAGATCCCTTAGTAGTACCCTTAACTTGTTTCTTATTATACGATTAAAAGGGCCTTGACAGACAGACGGACGTACAACAAAGTCATCGTAAAAGGGTTCCGTTATTTTCCTATGAGGTACGGAACCCTAAAAAATTAATATTTTTTAAAAATAACACTTTTTCGAAGATCTTATTTCTTAGTTACGATTCGATTTCGATTCTACAGGCTTCTATGTGCTTAAGGCTTTAAAAAATCTTGTGGAACAATAGGTTACATAACTTTTAAGGTAAGGCCATTGTTCTATTATTGCCAAAGTGCATAAAAATCTTCCGTCACCTGGAATGTATGAACATTGTACATAAATCGATCGATTTGAATATAGTGGGCCAGGCTCCGTCCTTGACGTGTTTGTAATACAAACTACTAATCATGATACGTTGATATGCTAAAATACTAATTTATTTGCAAACAGCAAAGAGTAATTTCTAAATCTGATAATAATAGCTATTAGTGTATGTATTATAAGATAGTTGGATTAACGAAGTCTAACCTGTTGTCTTTAATCTTTATTTACCTGTTTACAAATAGAATATTATTAATATTAATATAGTATTGACATAATATTTTTTTTATTTAAGTTCACACCTGCACAGGAAGATGTAATATGTTGCAGACTAGATTTATTATAGCAAGTAAACATTTATCATTGATAATTTTTTATGAAAAATAACAAATCCATAAAATGAACAATCTACATTTAAATGGCACTTAATTAGATTTTAGTAAAAAACATTCTTAGATTTACGCAGGGCATTAAATTGAAAATGAAGGGCTGGACAATGGGTTTTACAACACTTAGAAATAGGTCTTTGATAAATTACGATAACTTATCAATCATTGTAAAGTAACTAAGATTATAACTAACATTGATTAGCTGTTGAATTTATTTAGACTACATGCACATTTTAAATAAAATCATTCATCATAAGTACATGTCTATTTAGTGCTTGAAAATTTATATATTGTTTGATGGAATTATCTATCTTTATACTAAATTAAATATACTTATACGTAGTAAGTAATTAAATTGTTCCAAACTACATACGTCGAATGTGTTCTTATCAATAACAATCAAACAGATAATATTAATTTGTTGATTTAATGTAGTAATAAACGTGTCATTCAAAAACACGTACGTGAAATTTGGAACACGAAATGGTAAATATTTTATATCCTTTAATATTATAACTCTTTATCTGAAATTAATGATTAATTTACAACAAAAACAATTAGAACTATTACTACTGAAACAAAATGAATCACTTGCATGATTGCTGCGAAATAATTTTACGTCAAATGTGAAGTATGGTCTACTAAATAACAGGAAGTCAAAAGAAAGTCTATGAACTTAGAACATGTTCTAAAAAATGTACAATTTCAAGGACATCACAGTACAATTTTCTTCCAGAATTGTTGTAATATTAATTTTCTTTAAATATAAGTATATGCAAAACATAATATTTACATTTTATTTAGCGTATGCAAATAGTAGATAGCGATAACAATATGTAAATAGTCACAACCTACAACAACATGTAATGATTTAAGATACTCACTATTGTTTTCAGAGAATTCTTCTACTATCATGCTTGCTGACGTTCTGTTGGGCAGAGCCGCGTGTTCTCGAGCCCCCAATACGAGTCGAATTAGAGCCACCAGAATCTTCTAATCTGAATTCAAGAAATGTACTCACTAGTTGGATAACGATGCCGATAGACCACTTCGATCCACAAAACAGAGAGACATTCCAAATGGTTAGCGAAAAATAAAACAATACACTATCCTATCACAAAATTCGTAGTTCGTAATTTGTATTATTACATAAACGTCAAGACTTTATAAATTAAAATTGGTTTATTTAATTTATATGAATTAACAAACGCGCATCACGTGCCAAAATCACAAACCCAAAGACCATAGTATGTCATGAGTACTGCCCTCTTTTGTTTTAATTGCTACAAATACTAAAACAGTATAAAACTAAATTTAACTAATGTTAATTAAAAGACGATTAATATTTTTTTTTTACCTTTGTCTTCTGCTTATTTTCTTTCTCTTTTTTGTCTACTTATATTAAAAACAAATTGATTTCAGCGCTTCATGTTCAACGAGGAATTCTTCGGTGGGGCAGGCAAGCCGGTGTTCATAATGGTGGGCGGCGAGTGGGCCATTGCCCCGGGCTGGCTGCGTGCCGGCAACATGTACCTCATGGCGCAGGAGAATCAGGGATACCTCATTTATACAGAACATCGCTACTATGGCGAGACTCTTCCTTACACGTTAGTTTTTTGGACGTTTATTATTCTTGATTGGGGAAGGATTGCCAAGTTATGGCCTAATTATTTACTTATGTCAAACAAAAGCAAATTTTACGGTTTGGTCGAACCACAAAACATTATATTTAAAATTTTATTTCTACAGAGATTTTACAACTGAGAATTTAAGATTTCTAAACGTGGACCAAGCTTTGGCAGACGTCGCATATTTTATTTTAGAATTGAAAAAGCAAGACCGTTTCGCGAACAGCAAAATTATCTTGTACGGGGGTTCATATGCCGCGAACATGGCGATGTGGTTTAAACAGAGATATCCTCACTTGGTTGAAGGCGTTGTAGCTTCCAGTGCTCCTATCAAGGGAAAAGTTGATTTTGCTGGTAAATTCTTTACTTTATTTGTTAAATTAATTTATAAAATCTTTTGAACAAACAAAATGCTTTTCGCTATATAACGAAAATTTCAAAAGAAATGCAATCTAAAGTGAATTCGATGGATAAAAAAGTGCTTTAGTAAACTGAAGTGTCAATAGACAAGTGAAGTTTATGAAGCTAGGAAAGGGAATGAAATCTTAGAATTGTCCTCGCGTGACAATGTAATGTAAGGTTCTCTTATCTAGAGTCATCGTCGAATCGGGAAAACGTTTTGTAACAAAAAGAATAAATATAATAATGGTTAAGTATTTAACAGTAATCAGAAGGTTTCATAAACAGCATTCTTAGAATATAATAACTTTGTAAAAAGAAGTTTAAAATGATGTCACAAACTTGATATATTTTTCCAGGTTATTTGGAAGTTGTTCACGAAGCATTTAAATCGGAAGGGGGTGAGCAATGTATATCTACAATAAGGCAAGGAATTGCCGAAACAATTGCCGCGATGGAGAACATACTAGGCAGGCGAAAAATTGAAGAAGCGTACAGGTACCTACCGACAACGTGATTTTGACCGCATAATATCCATAAATAAAATATCTTCGTAAACATATAACGACGGTGACTATTAATTAATTTCTTCTCGTTTTATTTATAGGCTTTGCAATCCTCTGAACTATAACAACGAACTGGACTTAGGTTACTTCTCGGGGCTCATCACGTGGACTTTCTCGGGGTCAGTGCAGCGCGCACGTCCCGGCACGCTCCTATCTATATGCAACAATTTCACCACAAACATTTACGGTATGGCAACCGCAGCATCTCTAATATTTGTAAGACATATTAAGAGAAGTTAAAGTAAGATAGTAAACATCGCTACTTTCGATTTTTATTGCAGGAGAAACCCCAATGGAAAAAATAGGCGGCTACATAGCCGCGACCCAAAACCTGGGATCCTGTTGGGCTACTGGATTCGAAACTTTTTTACGGAGTTATAATACCACTTCTATTTGTAAGTGTTTGTGTAATTTTATTAACTCTTCGGTTACAGAAAGTTTGAAAACTATTTCGAAATATCTAAATCAAGTGGCATGACCGATATAGTAGCATAGCATATTTTAAATCACTTCACCCTCAATTTCCAGTAACAGCGTTGTTAAGTTGTTTTTTAGTTTTCTTTATGTTTATCGATCATTCTTTTTTCAGCGAGAGCGTGGTATTATCAGACGTGTACAGAGTACGGGTATTTCCAGATAGCACCGAAATCGGGCACGGTGTTCGATCACTTGAAATGGCTCGATGTTGCATTTTATGTTGAAGTATGCAAGCAGGTTTTCGACCAAAGGTACAGTTAAGATAATTTCCTAATGAGATCACCATTAACTTATATTCAACCGTATTAGTAACAGATCCCTTCATACCATTTTCATCGGCAGAGTTACTACGAATTTTAACGTAACAAACCGTTTTTTTGAACCAATGATCAGTCTTATTTTGTGGCAGGTTTGACGAGGCGTTTGTATACGATGCGGTGGACCGCGTAAACTTAATATTTGGTGGTTTGAATCCCGATGTGAACAACACCATCAACATCCATGGCACCATAGACCCGTGGCATGCTCTCGGCGTCTATGACAGGGATTTAAAAGAAGGTTCTCCTACCTATACGGTTCCAAGGTAAATAAATGACAGTTTTGAATTCGGGCATCACAATATATATTGTGGAAGACAAGATTGTTTCTCAATCCCATTTAAACTAACAGATCTTAATTCTGGTTTTGTTTGAAACTGCCAAATTAAGACAGCTGACAGGTTTAAAGTCATAAAACATCTATAATTCTACGCTTCTGAAATATTTGTACTTTAAATGCTAATTATGATTTTTTGTAATCGCAGGGCGTCTCATTGTTTCGACATGCAAGGTTGGCTGAGCACGGACACCATTCAAATGACACGGGTCCAGCAAGCCGCGAGAAGACTGGTAGCCCGTTGGCTGTCTTGATTTCATATGAGTTATGTTAAAATTCAAATATTGTAAATATAATTTCGAAACAATTATTTTTTTACTTCAAAGTTATAACAGTAATCAAGGTACCTATATACCTACGATAGCCAATAGCTCCGATTTTGGTTTTTACGGACCATTGGTATAAGCAGATGACAAATTATCAAATGAATAATTTATCGTCAAAAAATAATTAAAGTTTAACTTTTTAATCAAGTAATTTTTCTTTTTTTCTGCACTTAATATCTAAGGGATAGGGATAGGAGTAAAGAAAAAAAACCACTTCATCCCGATGGGACGGGAATGCAATTTATTTATTAGTCGAAATTTCACATTTTGACAAATTCAAAATCCACAGCAAGTTAATAAGAATCTTTTAACGGGTCGATACAGATCCAAAAATATAATCAAAGTACTCGCTACCCGTCCTACAAATATTCAAATTTCCTAAGTTTAGTTCTAGTTTCATAAAATGTCAAGTTACCAATGCGCCTAGAGGCGTGTTCATGTGTGTAATTATAAATGCACAGTGCACTACTGCCCGGGACGAGTCGGTGTGTTTTCAAAATGGCTCTTTTCCACTATGATCCTTTTCAGAAACACAACACAAAATGTACCGCACGGTGGGGCGACACCTAACATGGCTAAGATTTCATTTTAAAAAGGAGAAAAATTCACTGACACTTATCTAGACTTAAAATAAACATAAAATGGGAATCCCCGCCGCGCGGCACTTCATTTGCAGTGGAACGAGAAGGCCCGAGAATGTTCTATGCATTGCAGATTGTTCTAGAACGCACTCGGTCCACTGTGACGCGACCCGGGAAGTAGTCTACTCTACCGCGATGTAGCACATAACTTAAGCTCACAGTATACAACATTCGAGATTATGGCAGTTCATCATTCAAGTCGAAAACTTCATTTTTATAGCAAAAAAAATCATCATTATAGGCCCTTACTTCTATTTGACGAATTTAAATATTTCATTAAAAACCAATGATCATCGTGTGAATTGCTTTAAAAAGGAATTAAAAACATTAAAATTGTCATATGTACGCTATATAATAAATAGGACGCCACGTGCAAATGAAAATTGTACAAATAATTCCATTATGTAGGTAAAATGGCATTGAAATATCACATGCAGGTAAATTAGGAGACATAATACTTATTATTCTAACATTTCATGTTGTCTTTTGGCCAAGGAACATGTATGAACCCTGTCATAAGCGAGACAGCATTATTTTAAGAATCCATCATAGATACATATAAATTTTACAATACAGTATAGATGTCGCAAAACTCAATTACATTTGAGTATATTTTGTGACAATCATAATATTATCTGTAATTCCATTAATATAAAAAATCATGCATTGTCCGTTCGTAGGAGGCTATATCTTTGGTAATTGACACCAGATACATATGATATATAGACCCATGATTTGATACATAGATGGATACAGAAGTGACACGGCGACCGCCTCAAATGATAGAACTGCCCGCTGGGAGCCGGAACTAACTCAAATTCAGAAATGACGGCACCATTACACCTATGCATCTAAACTAACGAATACTTAATAATAACATACACAGAATCGCGCAAATGCAACCGTCCTACAGACCAAGTTACATTCGTATGGGCTTCCAAAATATTATTAAAAAAAACTATTATTCTTATGTAAAAATTAATGTTTGATATATTACATATTAATTTCTAATAATTATTTTCTTCATAATAAGAGATATTTAATCATTTTTAAGTTACTTTTCATACAAGAGAACTAAATACAATATTTCGTTTATATTGAAAAACTGTTACAGGACTGGACACTTATGTTAACTTTATAAATAAATATCGGTGGCCAACACGAATGCAAAAGGCCCGTATGCATTGATCACTCCCACGCAATGGCAGTTTCATTCGCGAGATTTCGTCGCATTAATTATAATAGCCTATAGAGAGACATCAGCGATAATATCTCCGTGCTCTCGCTACAAAACACACGTAGATTAAGTGTTTAAAACATACTGGTGGAATATTTACAAGGTGCTAGATGCGCTCGCGCTGACGTAAGTCAATCTACGATGAGCGGCTTGGGCGTCTCCCAGGGGAAGCCCTCCCGCCCGAAGTGGCCGTAAGTACTCGTCTTCTGATATATCGGCGCCTTCAGGTTCAGCTCTCTGCAATACATTAGGTACATGTTTTGTCAAACTATACAACAAATAAAACAATTAAATGCATATTTGACATTTGAACACATTATAACTTGTTTTTATATTCCGAAGTAACTCGTTCTTCTCCCATTAATCGTGGTCCTACCTCGGTTATCGTATAATGTGATACAAAGAATAGTAAACAGCATCTCACTTGACAATCTTTCCTGGGCGGAGATCGAAGTTCTTCTGTACAATGGACAGCAGCTCCTGCTGCGTCTTGTGCGAGGTGCCGTAGTCGAACACCGTGATCGAGAGCGGCTCCGCCACACCGATTGCGTATGCGACCTAATGTAAACACAATATACAATTAATCTTACCAAATATTTCAAGTCCAGGGTATATTATGAATAGGTCAATGAGAAACATTTTAATTTCAAAGCCACGGGATCGCCTAACAAGTTTCCTAACATTACTTCCTACATAAATCATATTAGCATGGAATTTGTGTAAGTAGTCACTATGACTTTGTAGATGAATGTTTGATTTTACCTGCACCATGCAGCGCCTGCAGAGTCCGGCGCGCACGAGGGACTTGGCAACCCAGCGCGCGGCGTACGCGGCAGAGCGGTCCACCTTGGTGAAGTCCTTGCCCGAGAAAGCGCCGCCGCCGTGAGCACCCCACCCGCCATACGTGTCCACTATTATCTTGCGTCCCGTCAGACCGGCGTCAGACTGAAAACGAAACAAGTAAAATTTAAAAAAAATCCCGACAGACTGTATCTCTGACACTATGGAGAAGAAAATGATTCATATTAGACTGAATACACTTCATTCATCAAAATAGTATCAGTCCTTTACACTGTAGGTCACGATGGAATTCATAGTCATCCCTCTGCAGACAATTATTCCTATTATTATTATTATTAAAAAGTATTCATAATACCATTTCATAGTTTTAGAGCTTTCTGTTAGTGAAAATTTGCCTAGAATCTTTTCGTTGGTTTTTAACATAATTCCAGTCACTGAATATTTACTTTTTAATAATTATCATATGGTTTTATTACATAAGTAATACATAAGAGAATTCAATTTGACACAAACCTGGTTCATCTCTGTAATATCATACTTTTGTTATGTTTCTTTGTACGATTTTATAGCTTTAAATGTCATTTGTAGAAAAAACCGGTGCAACTTTGCGACGTAAAAAAATGTTAATATCAGTGCATAATTCAAATGTTTTGTTGAATATGTTAATATTATATATATTAATTTTATGTGCTTATTAATAGCCAAGGACGTTTCTGTAGAAAAGTATTAACCAATAATCACTAACAGTTTTAGTTCCGCATTCTATGGTGCTCGAACGATACAAAGTAAATAAAAAATCCTACCATGACATGACGTATCACTGACGCATGTGACGTCAGGTATCTAACGCAACATGACGCAACTATGGTATTTATATAAATAACCTGCCGTGATAACGTGGCTAGAAATTTTACATGGTGTATAAATTAAGTTAATCGTTGTATATACAAAAATAATCTATGGGTTCAGTATTATGATTAAAACAAACATTTATTAATATATGTTTAACAATGAATGCATACTTTTTATTTATTTCACTGCTTTGTATAATTAATATTTAATTATGATAAACAATGGATACTTCACGAAAGTACACGATTAATTCCTAGGAAAAATTATGTCATTTCACAATAGTTTATATAGAAACGGTGTAAAATTTCGCGTGACATTACCGTTGACCAAGTTTTTTTATTGTTTTTCATAAGTGTACTATATCCAACAAAGTATTATTAATGCTGACGAGAAAAAAAACAAGCTTTGCGTAATGTATAAATTTTAGATTGACATGGAATTTTTATATTCACTTTTATGATCATGTTACAAATTCTCGTAATAAATCTTTGCAACTATTCATTTAATTATGCAGCCATAAAATTATCAATGCCTTTTCGCTTTATTCCAGCAAAGCGAGTTTTATTAGACTATTTATAATTACTAGTTGACGCCCATAAGTTAATATTCTATCATTTTCATAAAGATTATTTTAAATAGCACTTTTTCACGTACTTTAACTATGTTCAATTTTATGTTCATCACAATTTCTTTAAAAAGGGGTTTTTACATAACTTTTTACTATGTTTTACCTGAGGTCCACCAATGATGAATAGTCCTGAAGGATTGATGTGGACGATAGTCCTGTCGTCAAAGTACTGGTCTGGGATTACTTCCTTGATAACCTTCTCTCTGATCTCCTCGCGAAGTTGCTCCAAAGTTATCTATAATGAAAATGTGACCATTTATAAAAATCCAGGCAAACTCCACTGCCTTTACAAAATTCATAGTAATTTTTATTCATATTCATTATTAAAAAAAAATCAAACAACAAACAATTTATCTTAATGTAATTTTTGTTAAGAATTAGTGGGGTTTTCAAGTGGGTAAAACTTAGAGATAATTGAGTCATCTATTTTCATCGGAACATGTTTGGATTACTATGACGCTAATGAAATCGTGAAAACAAAAATATTTATATCTAGTGATAAATAGGTTATCAAAGACAGCAATGACATAATATTTTAATTATTTACACATAGCATGTATGATGAAATGTGAAATGCTATTTTCTTAAGCAATTTTATTATCGTATCGTTGGTATAAAATTTAATCATAACATAACTTGTTATGGAAAATTGTAATCAACTTGTGTTCATTTCAATTCATACGATTTTTCAATAATATTAACACTTTTCAGTTTGGATTCAAGGTCGAATGGATTCTTTATCTCTTATACAAGTTAGTATTGTCGACGGGTGACAACTGTATTCTGGTTTGGTATGGTTTCATAATACTTTTTAAACTACAATTTTGTTAAGCCAATTATTTTCATTTAATTATTCGAAGTTCGACTAAACTAGTTTCAATATCAAGTAATTATCGTTATCTATACATATTTATGAAATTGGAGTGTCTGTATGTAATACTGACAAAAAAATGATAATTCGTGCAGCTGATGTATTTGGATGGCAGATAAAGAAAATCATTTTTTTTTACCTTTCCGGAATGTTGCAGTGATACAACAACTGTGTGGACCCTCTGCGGCACAGTGGCGCCCCCCGTGAAGATATACTCGCAAGTCACCTGCAACACATTCAACCATTCAATATGGAATACAGTCCAACCTGGATAATCGAGAGTCTGAGGGCCAGCGATATAGTTCTTGCTTACAGAGGTCCCGGTTATTCAAGTTCGACTATACATTTAATACGACAATTGTACACTGAAGTCTTCAAAATGTTGCCTAATTAAATATGTAAACAAATATAACTTCAAATTAGAATACAATTAGTTAGAATGGCATAAAATGAATAAATGGCAATAACATACTAGTACTAGTGTTTGATGACGCAATCATAATTTATAATATATCAAATTTTAAATGCCAATATAAACCACCAATCGATTCCATGCTTGTAGATTGCCAAGGTTAATACAAAATCATACTGATTTATGTCATGTTATAAAAATGGTCGCCTTGACCATTAATTTGGCAGTAGACAGACCCGTCATGTTGATAAGATAAGGCTAACGCCCAAAATAAGAAACAATTCTAGATTAAGTTAGAAAATGGAACAGACATCCCATCACAATCTATTTATCAAAAAGAATTGTATATTTTATACTGTTTTTGTAAGATAATTTCGTCGCCATAAAAATTTACCACTATTTAGGTTTTCATTCCAACAAGCTAAAAGCATTCTCTTATATTTTAAGCACATTGATTATGTTTACATATGGAAAGTTATGATTTGATCCATTTTTAAAGATGCAATTTATTTTCTGTGTGCTAAGAAACATATTACTACAGTGTTTTTTAACGTCTTGTAACATTACTAATAGAAAATAGTTGCATTAAAATGAGTACAGGATTACTCAAAATAATTGTGTTTTCATCATATTAAAGTGACATTCTTTTTGTACTGATAAAATAATTACATGTAACAATTGAATGTAATATTCACAGTAAAATAATGTACATATTTCGTAATTTTCATATAACGATTTTATCACAAAAGGACTGAAGTTGTAAATAATAATTAAGAATATTTAACAATTTTAAAATGACTAAACGGGATATGTATTGATAGATATTAGTTAATAACTAAGGGATTCCTGTAGTTAATTTTAAGTTCAATTTACCTGTGATTTGGAGTCAGGACGTGCCCACCAGAATTCACCGTTTCGTCTGAGCTCTGCAATCTTCTGGTTCAGTTTGTGTGCAAGCACCACTGTGAGCGGCATGCATTCTTCTGTTTCGTCCGTGGCATATCCAAACATCAATCCCTAGAAGAGATCTACCATTTTAAAATAAAAAATACAAAACACACAAAAGTAAAATTTGTATTTTAAACATTTTTTAGTAAGAAATGACTCATAAAATAGATCATGAACCAATTATGTATTATACCGTCTTGTAGTAGTAATGAGAAAAAAACCCAAGTGAAACAATGATAATCTTACATATTCTGATGAAATCCATTTATTTTCCAACACTGACATGTTCAGTGTCATTGAATTGCCTGACAAGTATTCATTCATTAAAGAAAATTGTAGTTTCATGGAATATTTCCAAGGTTATTGTTTTATTGACCTACCTGGTCGCCCGCCCCAACATCCTCCTCACTCCTGTTCTCATGCACCCCAGCCGCAATGTCTGGTGACTGTTGGTCCAGAGCTAGCATCACACTGCAAGTCTTGTAGTCAAAGCCTGGCCCCAACATGCATATTATTGTTACCATTCAACATAACCTAATTATTTCCTAACAGTTTATCTATCACTTATCGGAACATGGTCGCCCAAATGAAAAATGTCTTAAAATCAAAATGGTCATGCAAAATGATTTTCCCAATCTTTTAATTTAGCCCCGTTTCGTGCTAACAGGCTCTATTTGAATTTTGTACCTGATCTCCAGCCCCAAAATCAATTTCCTCTCTGTTCCGATACACCCCATCGGCTATGTCTGGGCTTTGCTCCTCAAGAGCCACTAACAAGTTTAGTGTACGCCAATCAAAACCTAGTGTTCACAAAATAATTACTAAGATTGTGCCTGAAGGCCAAAGAACATTTTATACCAACATTAAATCTTAACTCAGTACCTGGCGGGCAGCCAATGTACAGAAATCTTTGTGCAATTTACTAATTCTATTAGAAACATTGTTTTGTGATTACCTTTTGAAGAATCATCATATCCAATATGCTTCACCGTTTCTCTGACAACTTTTTGATAGTCAACATTAGCTTTTGATGTTATTTCTCCGCACAGCAGAATCATACCAGTTTTAGTGACGGTTTCTGGCAATATTTAAAAATTATTAGTTTTCTTAAACGCTCCATGAAGTTGTGATAATTGCTTCTTTGGTTTTACTTACCACATGCTACTTTTGCATCAGGATCTTGTTTTAAATGCGCGTCCAGAACAGCATCGCTTATTTGGTCGCACATTTTGTCTGAAATATTAAAAGCGACTCATGTATTCCTAATTCTTTAAAGTAATAATATATCCAGATTTTATTTCATCATGCTAAAATAGTCTTACACCACGTGGTCTTTTATATTGACAATTATTCATATCAATTACTGGAAACATTCTCAATTTACATTTAATATGATGTAACTTAATACTGCCCTTGCTTCTACGTATTCACGTAGGTAAACACATCATGAATAATATTTATTTCTACTGTGTCCCATATTAATATTATCAGAACATTCACAGACATAGAATTCATTAAAATATTTGCGCACATGTTTGAGGCGGCCATCTTTCGATTTGATAACTCGCACGATCCTGAAGTATAATGAAAAACTAACCTGGATGTCCCTCGCCGACGGATTCTGATGTAAATAAAAACACTGATCCATCTTCCATGTCATAACTGTGCCCGTTTGTTTTTGCATATCCATTCATTTTTGCAGTCTCCGGCATTCTGAATTTGGAGTTAGCTCACAAAAATAACCCAACAAAATCCCCTCGAAATAATACTGTGGAAAAGAGGTCTGCTGCGAGTTCGCGCTGTTATTTATAAGGTCGGAGAGGCGCCACAGCGCTCCAAATTATAGCCAATCCACGATAAGCTCACGCTCCGTTGTCAGTCACTTCTGCTCTTCTATTGGATAAAATATTTTGTTTTGATTCTGTATAACCTATAAAATAGTAAAAGATGTCAATGTGAAATCCATCATTTTCATTTCAAATAAACTCTTTGGTATATTTTAAAAATTAAATATCACCTTCATAAACTCAAGAAAATAACAGAGTATCAAATTGTATCAGTTTTAACAACTATTGACCCAATACAATCGCACTAATAAATGACAAAACCTTTCCCTGGAATAGAACAATTTTTCTTTGTCGTAAATAATTTGTGGATTTACAATCAAGAACAACAATCGAATCTAGTATGATTGGTATAAGTTCATATAACCTATGTTGTTAGGGATAAATATATAACATGAAATCAGAACAAGTATAAAACACAAAATGGCTATCGTAGTTTACGTTGAATCAGCCCTTTTTCGCGCAAGAAATAATAACGAGGGAAAGCGAAAGCATCAACGTGCTTTGGCCATTGGTTCAATTTTTATAGATTTTAACAACAATCGTGTAGAAGTTCAGTAACAGTATCAAAAGTATCACATTATTGCTAAAGTGTTTTCGAAAACCTAGTAAAGTTATGGATTAACTGTTTAATTAGCGCATTTTAAATGAGAACTTTCCATGTCGCATTTGTTTGGTTTTATTAAATTTGATGTTAATGTCGATATCGTACCCTTTTAAAATTTGCACAATATATTTTATTGATCCCGCTGCAAGTTCCCGCCAAAAACTCTCCTAACGTCAAATACGCAACGCAAGATACTCGCTCTTTTGGAATAGATATTCGCTTTTGTAATAATAAAAAAAAATGGTTTTATGATGCTATACTGTTTTTATTTTACTATACATGTGCATAATAACAGCCAATAAATTAATTTCGAACGCAATCCTGCTTGAGATAAGAACCGCTTCGACCAGTCACGTGTAAAGTTGAAAGTTCGTGACCGTAAAATAAAATAACACATTCGTTTATAAAAATGATATTTTAGAGATTTACATGTTTTAATCTCTTTTCCATTATGGTCTTACAAAGGAAATGCAAGTTATTCACTTAGTCTAGCTAAATTAACTTATAATGCGACATCCGGCTTGAAGTAGAGTTATTTAAAGTCTGCATTTCGCCTTCACCAACCCTGTCTTATTTAATTTTTGTTTTCTTATTCTTATCTTCTACATAAAAGTAGCGTAAATCGTTCATTGAGGAAAAACCAATATCTAGTAAATAAAAAAGTAAACACATATATTTATGTAAGGGATTAATTAATTATATGGGTACTTAACGCGTATAAAATAGGTTTTACATAAAGTAAAACAATAAATACAAGGATTAAGAAGTAAAAAAATAATTAACACATTACGGTTATCAGTGGGATTTTTATTTACTCAGATCAAGTGGAAATATAAACGACTTAATGCCGCACTCAGAATTTTTAAATGGTTATTAAAGCGGTTCCTTAGTTGTTATCTATATCTCGTACTCAATTTACACTAAGGGCGCCCTTAGATTACTTATAGTATAAGTTGGACCAAGCAATCAGCCACCTGAATTCGAAAACAATAGCAAAGTGTCTATAGGCATTTGCATGCGTTGCTTAATCGAAAGAAGAGGGGACACGCAAAAAGGGATTTTTTTCACTTCCCATTCGTTCTCTACTCTACCAAATCCTCTTTCCTTGCCTATCTTTAAGGGTGGGAATGGGAGGAGGACTAAATTGGTGTCCATTAAATGACCCAACAGACTTCAGTGTGGCCGTAAGATAAAGTAGTATCATATTAAGTTTACTGTGGCAATCCAATGCTTTGAAGCATGATTGTCTTGAAACTGCTGGAACAAAGTAGAAGCCGCTCCAAGTTAGCTTGGTGATCAAATGTAAAATCACTTTATCCACAAAACATAGAACAATGTATGTATTTTTCAAGGCAGGCAATCCTAAGAGCTACGCCAGTGATCTCTATTATTTTTAAGAAAGCTTTGTACTTATGCTGTATAATTTTCCAGATCATCAGTTCACACCATCACAACATTTATCATTTGTATTAGCAGTGAAACTCCGGCATTGCGTTAAATTTATTTATTTGTTCATTTACTTAAATCATCTTCATATTTGAGACGTAATATAATATGATGTATATTAAAAGAATTATTCCCTTCTTAAATAAACGAAAAAATAAAACGTTAGGGGGCTTAAAAAAAAATTTTAGCCCATAAAAATAAATACTTTAGCATTAAGCAGAGACAGGCCAATTGCTTTAGTAATATTTAAAACATATTAATTTTAATATTTACCTTTTTAAGTTATGAAATTATTAACTGTTGATTTATAAAGGATCACCTTGTAAACACGTAAAAAAGCACGCAATAAATGTAAAAAACTGCAACAGTCTAAAACGTACGAATCGCGAACAGTAACTGAGATTAATTCTTATGAAATTGCTAACTTAACGCGAGATAACGCCCCTAATGTTAAACGTGCATTCTCATTATTGATTTGAAAACATAGGCAAAGAGACAACCATCAACTTTATTATGAAGATATATTAACTGCATGTCTCAAAATGGTTTAATGGTCACTCAATGAGTGTCGCTTAGGGCAATCTGCAAGTAAATTAATAATACAATGGTTTTGTTTAGATCTTGAATATATAAAATAAATTCTAGCTTGATACCTTCACGCTTTTTTGAGAAGAAAAGTCTTGACAGACAGACGGACAACAAAGTGATCCTATAAGGGTTCCGTTTTTTCCTTTCGAGGTACAGAACCCTAAAAATGCTTTTTATAAGGTATTTACCGTAATTTACTGATATGAGTGAATATATGTTAAGAATTTTACCAATATGAATGTGACTGCGGTTTATTTCCTATAAATATTGGAGATACCCCAAATCATTAATCAATTTATGTCGTTTGTAAGTTAATTTTCTGTGCAGATGAGTGTATATGTGGCTTTTAAAATCATTATCTTACTATGGACAAATTTTTCAACAATTTTATAGACATTAATAAACATACGTATTTGCACAATATACTCGACATATTAAGTATCACCCCAGACATAATTACATGCAGCAAGGGTAATTTTTGTTCGCACGCATAGTTTGAATAAAAGAAGGTAAATCATTTGTTATTTTTATTCTGAGATTATCGCCAGAATGTTGTATACAGGTTTTACCATCATTATTCATACGCTAAACCACTGTTTATGATTTTAATGCTATAGCCAGGTATTAGTTATACAGGGAAAGTAACGCAAACAAAACAATTATAAAAAAATGGTCAGCTCATATAATTGTTGTAAATATTATTTTGCGTTGGCTCTTAGACTCTTTCTCTGTTTATCGCTGTCGTATGATGAGGCGAAAGTTCAGAAAGATTATCGTGATCTCTGTTTAAAAACAAATTAATTTTTACATTTGTCAACAAATAGCATAATGTTTAGAAATCTGTGTATCTGGAACAAATATTTACGTAGTACACGGATACATTTAGCTCGGGAACTGTGGCTATCGTATTGATTTGAACACAAGAAGCATATGTTTTTTTTTTTATAATTTTTGATATAGAAAAATATCCACGTGCATTTAAAAATATAAAAGCGAACTAAAAAATAAAATTAATTGAAAATTGAAAATGGAACATCTAAGCATTTATTAATTAACATTATTTTTAGTTTTTTAAGTTTTTTTTTTTACATCCCAGTGTAGTGTTATTTATTAACTGAAAGTGACACAGCAAGAATGTATTCCATTAAACATGAGAAATGCTTAGTAATTGGAAGAAATTGAATACTGTGATAGTCTTCTATGAAACAATAAATCGTGAGTATATCGTGAGTATAAGCGTCATCGTCACCTATTAAATTGTGCAATATTCCAATAAGATTGGATAGAATTATATTATTATTTATTTACATTTAATATAATACAAAGCAATTTTAATAAGCAATAAGTCAACAGTTTTCGCGCAGAATTGTACGGCTGGTAAAAAGATAGAATCCTTAGAAATGGCATCAAAAAAGAATCAAGTGAAATTCTAATAACTGTAATAAGAAGGTACTCCAAAGAAAAAAGTACATACGCAGTTATTTAGGATTTACCTTTTCAAAGGTGTGTCTTGATCTTTGAATGGTGTATGGTTAATTCTAGATCTATAATCATCAATGCTTCCATTATCGCAATTTTTATTATTTTAAAAAGTTTTAGCTGAACTATAATACTTTTTAAATTTTTAAGAACTCCTATAGAAAAGGAAACTAAGGACTTCTGATTTAGGGTTGACAATGTTTCATTAAATAAAAAAATAAAAAATATTTCTTTACTAATTTTATAAATTAATACCAATACCATTTAAATAAATCAAGCCGAAGTATTACAAAATATTTAAAAATATATTATTAGTGGGAAAAAACATGCCTTATTCGGCTTATCAAGTATGACGATTAGTTCCATGCGCTTTACACATCTCAATGACGTGCACTAAGTAGGAAGTTATGAGTTCATTATCTTACTGTTAAATTAAGGGAAACGTTATCTAAGTTTTGAGGGGCACTGTGTTATGAAAAGGTTGATAAACTTTAAACTTTTAAAGACAACGCAACGCTGATAGTGTGATTACGAATCTCTTCTCTGTATTTCTGACGCAATACGCGGGCAATTCGCAAGCGCCTTTACTTATCGCTTAAGTTGCGTGTTATTACACAAACATTTTGATATTATTCGAGATAGATGATAAAATTCATACATCTTTATACCCCAGCTAAAGGGGAGTATTGCTGTTTATGCACCCGCCAAGCATTCAAATTATTTGTCTGTTACGTTATGTTTGAGGCTTTTGGATTGTTATTGAAAAGTTGCACGAATATCTTGATCATAATTTGACAAAAAAAATGAACGTTAACTGAGCGTTTTAAAAGGAAATAAATCTATTTTTTTTGATGTTATGTAATTTAAAATAAAATAATATAATTTAATATACTTGCATAATAGTATTGTGAGGAATTACATTAGAGCAAGTATCACGTAGCATTGACGAATTCCGTAAATTTCTCTATATCAATAGTAATAGTTAATACGTGTGCTCTTTATTATTTTAAATATCCAATACTTATATCAAATGTAGGTTTTATCGTTGTACATAATTTAAAATTGTGTTTTGATAAGTTGTTTTTCACTTACTTTCGTAACAATCATAACTAAAAGATTATTTCGTAATCTAAGTTCACAGGTCATTACGAGATGTTATTAAAACACCAGATTTTTATAAAGTAAAAAAGTACGTCTTGGAGGACACTTCAGTGGACAGATATAAAAATCTTATTTTTTACGTCTTGGATATAAAAAAACTGGTTGTTAAATTAAAAAATTAAATTGTACCTAATCATGCCCATCTTCTTGTAAAAGGGTCCTGGTTCGACCTCCGCCATTTACAAATATTTTTTTTCAATTTTCGAATTTCATATGTATATTTAACATTCATAGGACATGAAGGAAAAATGTGTTACATCCTGTACATGTCTGCGAAGAAATTCAAAGATACGTGTGAATTTAACCAATCTACTTTGCTTTGAGCTCCTTGGTTTTAAAACAATTCTTTAATTATTTTTTGGCAATATTTAAAATTTAATTTTACCAAATTTTATTCTATCATTTAATGCTCATGTTGGGACGACTGAGCAAGAATATTTTCTAATTTTTTTATTATTGTTTCTTGACTGTCTGGGGTTAGCTACCAACTTAATACTCGACTCGCAGAACACCATTTTAGGTGCAACGGGGCGTAAAGGAATGCGAGGGGAGGGCAATGCGCAGCGTACAGATTCTCTCCAAAACTAAAATTGGAATTTAAGCAGCGTCTTGATCCAAGATGTGAGAAGCCGTGAAGTTTGAATGGCACTGTACCCTTATTCCAGCGTCCTCGCTACCTGATAAAAATAACGCTATCGAGGGGCCGAGGGGCAGCGGTAACCAGATATTTTATCTGTGCAGCGGTCAATAGGTTGCAACTCATTTGCCTAAATTACTGTCAACTGCAAACTACTGCATTTTAAATTCAGTTAATTACGCCTTAATTTGATAATTGTTTTGATACAAAAAATAAATATTGATTGCAGATTTAGTGTTTATAGTTGGTTATATATTAAAATAAAATATTTTATTAAGAACATGTAAAAAGTCAAATAATAAGGTTGAGAAAAAAATAATTTGTTGTAACCAAAGTAATTTTATGTCAACCTTACACCAATCATATAGATTATTCTATCACTGGGTTTTAATAAATTACTTTACGACGCATTCTTTTTAAATCATTTGACTAGATCAGATTTTCATAGCTTTATATTAAAAAAACTTTCAATACAAGCTTCTTTAACTTGACCGCAAACAACGTGGAGCAACTCGAATCGTCATCGATCGGGTCGTACCTGGCTTTGCTTTGGGAGGGACGTCAGTTTCCTCTACATATTTAGCGTATTTACCATGAAGAGTGTTTTAAAGAATTGTTTGGCACAATTCTTGCGGCCAAGTACCATCAACGACACGACAGAATCATCCACTCTACCTTGATTTCTGGGGTTTCACGACGGTACAATTTACGAGGAATTTTCTGCCTAGTACAACCATTGTGGCACGGTCTAAGGGTGTAAGTTTAAGAAGCGAGCGTATTTTTTTCTTTAAGGCCGGCAACGCATCCGCAGTTTTTTGTGTTGCGGTTGTCTATGGGCATCGATGATCTTCCGTATTCCGACCGCTTGTTTGTCCCCTTCTCTTATAAAAAGTACTGAGGCAAACGAAAATTTTAGACAACGTAAATAATACACATATATTTCATTGTAATATTATATACAGTATAGCTGTAGCTTAAATATCTCAGGGTGAGATGTCGTATACCCTTTATTATCCCTTAATATCATAGGGTAAGGTTTCGGATTATCGGTTTTTAAATTAGTTATGACTTGCTTAAACTGGTATTGATAATTATTCTATTGATTGAATGCATTTACTATTGATATTATACGACCAAGTAAGCAAGCAAGTAAAGGTTACTGTGATGTGTCCGCGAGATGATGCTCATTTAATGAGGTCAACTTAGATACGGTCTACACGTGTTGGACTCTTATCAACTGATTCAAGGTCTAAGATCACTTTCTCTCTGCCAATGAAATTATATTTATCAGTAATAGATGATTTTACTTCTCTCATTTGTAAAGCTGTGCTGATCTTACAAATATTTATATTTTTTTAACACAGATTATTATTAATATTATACAAGCGAAAGTTGTGATGGATGGATGGATGTTTGTTTGATGGTATCTCCAGAACGCCTTAAAGGATTTTAGATGAAATTTTACACACATGTAGAACACATAGGCTTACTTATTGAGTTTTTTTGGCACGGACGGAGTCACGGGCGACAGCTAGTTTATAAGTGTAACCTGCAATAATTATATATTAGGTACTAACATGGTGTAAAATCACAGAAACAATAAAAACGTGTTTTTGCTGCAGTGCTGATCTAAATGCTTGTTAAAAATGTTATTATCGATCCGATGTCTTAATGGAAATCGACTTCCAAAATTCGATAACATACACAGATACAGGCTACAATGTATTTCCTTCCTTACAACAACAACCGCTGAGATAAAGCCACATTGAAATATCTATTTTAGATTTTGTATGGAACACAATAGACAAACTACAATGTTGTAAACGTAATTGTTTGAGTTATTAAGCTCATTGATATTATGTATCTTTACAATCTCCAAGTTGAGGAAGGAATTTCCGGTATTGATATTAATCATTATTTTCGTCATATTAACATTGTGTGGCACAATACTACGAGAATAATGGTTAGTTCATAATAATAATTTGCTATTATTTTACTACAGTAGTTGGCGTTGCCTGTAGGAAAATAATAGCAAAGTATTTTTACTTTACCATTAACCATATTGCTCGGTATGTATGTACCCTGAGATTGCAATAGATGATGACAGAGCCTTTAATATTTTTTTTTAACAAATATCCTGATAACTTACACATCTACGTCTGCTAGGTCTGTTGTCATTTTTTTTCTTTTATAATTTATTTTTATATTAAATTCAATATTTTATTTTCTTGTTAATAAACATACATAGGATACACATCTTAGACGTTCTAATAATCATTTACTATTGCCTTGTACGTAATTAATCTTTACATAGAAGTTGGATGGTAACATTTATAAACAGAATTATTTTTCCATGCGTTTTCTTTTTCCATGTGACGTAATCAGCATTATTGTTTAGTTCTCGTCACACTACACTTCTGAGACGTAATAAGCAAGAAGTAAAACCGATATGTAGATGTTCTGATATTTTCTTGAATTTTGTTAGAGAACTTTCATTAGTAGTTAACAAAGAAAAATGCTTGAATAAGACAATTGAAAGTTTTTAAGATAAGTACGCTGTAAAAACTATATTGCCTAGTTCCTTTTATTTTAATGTCTGCAATAACAATAATATAAAGAATTTATCATTTTATGACTCTTTATTCATATCCAACGATAATAGACGAATTGAAAGCCCGAATATTCCAATCACAGTGATTATTCTGATAGATAAGAAGCGATCACGGACGATGATAATTTGTAAACAGCCATGTTAGTACAATTAGTGGCTCCGTGATCGTGAAAAGATAATAGCTGTTGTTGAAGAGAATCAACAAAGCTGTTTTGGTTTGTGCTCGGAATGTTACTGCATTTTGTTATCAAATAGTGCGTTAGAACATGCGCTGATGCTGTGCGGCTCGCTATTCCACACTTATAGTACTTGTGATATATTTTTTCTGTAATCCTATAGTTGTGATTGTTGACTTTATTACTCTAAAATAATAAATTTCATTATGATTCAGTTCGGTGAAAGTTTTGCGACAACATGTACGGATTTAGACTTTTGACGTTCATCTATCAGTTTCTTTGGATTATATCGATTGTGGTTGTGTACGGTGTCGAGGTAATGTTGTGATTAAGCCTTTGGCACATATTATGAACTAGCGTTTAGTATAAATACAGTATTATATCATCTCATTTCTAGACACTACTTCTTTTGCAATTGTTTTTTAACCATTTTAACTTTTGTTATCGTATACTGTGTTGGATTTTCATAGATAAATAGTAACGAATTTTGTTTAGGTTGTATTTATGCTTTTGATCTTTAATACTTTGTTTGTAACCCTTGATTGGACATACGCCTCTTCATTGAGCGTTCCTTATTATGTGTTATTTTTTTAATGGTTTTTGATATCAAAATCAGATGTATCACTTTGAAATTACGGTGATATTATGAATGAATATATTTCATTCAATAATATATATACATAGTTTTTACTAATTTAAATAACAAATAATGTCTGAATGTTTTTTATATGCGATATAATTTGATAATTTATCAAAACTATGTAGTTATCAATAATCGATTGATCAAATCAAATCTAACTTCGGCGATGACAATTGTTTGGCAATGATGTAATGCGGTGCTTGAATAAATTTTAATCAAGGAATAAACGGTGGTATTAGCTTGGTGACTGAATGCTTTATTTACAATCTGAGGGACGCAGATTTGATTCTTAGACACGTTAGGGCGACAACCTTCCTTTTTTTCCTGGTCTCTGCTTTGATAAAATATAGCACCTGTAAGTAAAGATGTCTCTGACGCACTTAACTAAGAAAAGAAGTCAAAAGGACGATGATAGATTTATTTTTTTTAAATAAAATAAGGGGGCAAATGAGCATCGGAACACAGAGATGTTCAACGACGCCCATAGACATCTGCAATGAATCACAGATGCCTTGCCGGCCTTTGAGAAGATGATCGCTTCTTAAAGGACCCTAAGTCGTAGCGGTTTGATGGAACGATGGCACAATCCAATGTCTAGCTCCGTACCATAAAATTTCTCGATTTCTGAAAGCCGTAGATATTTTAATTTTATAGCTCTAATGTGATCTTGTTTACATTAGGAGGCGGAATACCTAAACAGTTTTGTGGACCCGGTGAAATCTGAGCAGAGCATATGGCAGCCGCGACACCCCAGGGTTGCATTCACCACTAACGAGCAACTAGCCTGTGATAAGCCAAATGTCTATATTTGTGAAGTGAGTACTTAATTTCTTAAATTCAATAATTAGCTCGCTGTAAATACCTATTTTCTAATCATTTTAAATACTAATATGCAGATGAAAAGATAAAATGGATTTTAGGAATGACTGTAAAAATGAGAGATATTTCCTAAGACCATTCCCGAACAAAAATCGATAGTTTTCACTCACCATTATGAGTTCAGGGTACGAATGATTCTTTATTAATTATCCAAGTGGGAGGATATTTATGTTTTTCGCCAATATGTGATATTTTTATTCTTTTTTAGAATGTCACAGGGATTCGATTGGTTACTTCTATTGTTTTTTTAGAAGTCGTATTTGTTTGCGCCAGGAGCCGCCGGTGACGGTGGCTGCAGACGAGGGGCGGCTTTGCAATTACCGCAGCGTGCGGTACCACGAGCAGGTGTACCGCTGGGTAGCGGGCCGCGGCTGCCTGTTGTATACACCCGATTTCCTCTACGCCACCGGACAAAACCCTATACATCTCAGTGCTGGATGCTTCTACGGGCCTTGGTTCGCGCCTTGCCTTGAAGTCGTAAGTTTGTTTTTGTAGATATACAACCTTTTGTCCGCATCGTTTGTGTGGTAATTTTTGTGTTAACGTGTTACGGCCTGATATAATCGAGATTATCAATTGTATTCTTTAATTTAGCTTTTGGTCATATATATTATTATACGTCTTTAGTATAAACTACCTATTGTATACTATACGTTTCATCGGCCAAAAAACAAACAACAGAGAGAATGTCAAAGAAAATAAATAACGTAGTATTTCACGTAATAAATTAAATTGAAAGGTAATAATTTAAATTTGAGGTGAAAGATATTGCGAATATGTCCTTAACGATTGCTAGAAAGTATTATAGTAGTGTAGTATATAATGTTGATGTTTTTCAGTAGTGTAGTATATAATGTTGATGTTTTTCAGGTAAAAGACGATGGTACCTGTGGTTGTTACCCGTTCGATCCGAGCTTCGAGGAAGTGGCGAGTGCAGTGCGGGAGGCCATCATCCCGGCCGCGCATGGCCGTTGGGAGCGTTGCTACTACACTGCCAGCGATTGCTGCAGCCATGTCATGGGAAGTAATGCTAATATTACAGGTACGGTACTATGGGCACTTCGCTATTTTAATCAAATCATGTCGGCTCTTTCTCGTATTAATACGTTATCCCATAAAGGCCTCTAGCATATTGGCATTAAAGCGAACTAGTAGCAAAGCGAAGCGTAAAAGACATGAAAAACCGAAAATTTTATGCAAAGTTTGCTCCAAGTTAGATTACGTTTAGTTCCATAGATCCGGAGAAAAGTCCAAATCACTCAAATAAATGACGACCTCATTAAAATGTCGTACAGATGTGTAATATGCTGATTATTAGACGAGACAAAGGGGTTTGTCTTTTTTTTAACATTTGTATAAAATAATCGGTAAATGCACTGAATCTCATAAAGATACTAAGAAACATAAAATTATTAGGTATGCGTCAATGTTATGTCAATTCTTTGTTTTACTATTTTTTATTAGATTGGTATAAAAATAAAGTCGCGTCAACGTATGTTATTGAACATGAGTTTCGGCAGTGTAAACCCACTGTTATGGTCATTTTTCATTCTTTAATCTTAATCCAACATTATGAAAGCCGTCTGTACTGTTTCACTATATCAAAAATTATCTAAGATATTTTAGATATGAGGTTATCTAAGGTTGCCCGATATTTTAAACGGGCGCTAGTAAACATACAAAAAAATAATAATGTATTATTTTATTTTAGTACACATATAAGACAATCTGTCTTGCAATTCAAACATGAATGATAATAATTTGCTTTAATTTCTGTAGTACTGTTTAAAACATACATCTATATATATATAAAAATCGATTGCTGTTCCTTAGTCTCGCTAAAGCTTGAGAAGGGCTGAACGGATTTATCCTATCTTGGTCTTGAACTGTTTTTGGATGTCTAAAAGGTGAGAAAAATTCGAATAATTGCCGGGAAGTAATTGTGTAACTAAATACGCGCACACGGAGTCGCGGAAAACAGCTAGTACAATAATATTTTGAACATAATAATAGTAACATAACATTATTCACCTTTTAGGTAATATTAAATTTTGTTCATCCAGATGACAGTCAATGTGAAGCAACCTTCGATGGCTGGACATGTTGGCCTCCGGCGCAATCAGATACTGTCGTCAACGAAGTGTGTTCAGAATTCGCATACTCCAATGTCGGACCCTCATGCCATCGTAAGTAACGCACATCGATCCGACACAGATACAAATACATAATCATGTATTCTAGGTTATTTAGTGTTACTTGAACATTATTCTATCGCGGTATTTCTATCGCTTAAACTTACTTAAACTTCTACATTAAACCCGAAAACCTTGATGCAGCCTTCTACCTTTACTAGTGTAAAATACTTAAATAACCTTTTACAAAACGACAGGAACAGGGAATAAAAAATGGTATGTCCTCTAGAGATACTCTTCATGTGTCTTCTTGTGAAGTTTTCTATTGATAATTATCTTCGACCGCACAGATTTCAGCAACAAACAGTGCTTCTCGAACGGCAGCTGGGAGTTGCAGACGGACTATACAACGTGCAGCATCACACCGCGCCTGTTGCGTCGCTACCGCATGAATATCGCCGTGCTCGCATTCTCCATTGCCTCCTGCCTTCCCGCTGTCTTCATATTCTTCTTCTACAAGCGACTGAGAATCACACGAGTCGCACTACATAGGAATTTGCTAATCGCTATCATTATAAGAAACGCTCTTGTCATTGTGAGCAGAAGTGAGGTGAGTCAAGATGGATAAAATTAAAAAAAATTGAAAATAGATTCATCTGTGATCATGATGTTAAACAAATGTTCATATGAAAATTAGTCATGATAATGTCGTACCAAAGTCCACAGCAGATTGTATTTTTATGATGATAGAATGATCAAAAGATGATCGTAATATTCATCATTCTTTGTCTAGTGCCTAGGAGAAGTATTAACCAAATGAAGATTGCTGGATGAGGAAGGTATGTTTTCAGGTATACATCGCAGAGCTAACCAGCTCAGGTGAGACGGTACTAACACAGCACAGCATGTGGTGCCGCGCGCTGGCTGTGTGCGAGCGCATCGCGGCAAACGCGGTCTTCGTCTGCATGCTGGTGGAGGGCGTCTATTTACACCGTCTCATTGTTGCCGTCTTCCGTAGTAATATAAAAATCAGGTGGCTCTACGGCGCCGGTGCTGGTGTGTTATCAAAGATAATGCTCTCCTCCAATAACTACTGTTGAGAACAACTTCTTAAATACATTGTTTGTTACAGTAATTGCGATAGTCCCGGCGGTAGCTTGGGCTGTTGTGATGAGCCAGCTCAACGACCATTCGTGTTGGATCGTATACACGGTGGCGCACGTGCAGTGGATCTTGGATGCACCGCGGATCGCCATACTGCTCATCAACACGTTGCTCTTCATAGACATACTTAGAGTTCTACTTACTAAACTAAGAAATTCTGAGAACGCTAATCAGCTGTGAGTGATACCAAATATATTCTTGAACATTATACATACCGATTAGTAGTGTAATCTAGTTTACAATTACGTGGAAAACAATAAGAACTATAAAAGGGCTGTCAGTTTTGTAACAAAGAACGGTAGATCAAAGCTCTAAAGCCTTTCGAGACATGTAAATCTTTTAATATATTTCCTTCCAGAAGTACAGCGAAGGCGACGCTATTCCTGATGCCGTTATTCGGTACACAGTTCTTGCTGACTGCATTCCGGCCGAGCACCACCGACTGCACATGGGAGCAACTGTACTACTATTTCTCGTACACATTAGAAGCCCTGCAGGGTTTTATTGTCGCCTTGCTGTATTGCTACGTTAATAAAGAGGCAAGTATAAAAAATACGAGTTTAACATATAATGTTTAAAAAACAGAAATATATAAAATATTGTAGATAACTACAATTCAGTTTTATTACTTACGATGTAACAAACATGAGACAAATTATCGTTTAATCTGTTCGAAAATTTAGTCACATTACCATTAAAAACCGTTCTCGGAACGTCCGTTAATATTCTTACTTAATTTAAATGAATTATGGCTTAATAATTTACGGTTATGCAATTTAAACCTTAACCTACTTAATAACATTAATAGATTAGTCCACCGGTGACCCTTGATTATAGTAATTTTGTTAGGATATTTAAATATGCTTTGATGATTAAACAATTAAACCTAAAGACATAGTATATAAATCTGTATTACAGTTAGATAAAACTGTTTTAAACATTACCGCATCGTGAATTATTTTCATTTAAAATAAATCATTTACAGGTACATGCACTAGTCAAAGCGACATACAAGAAAACAGAAAAAGCGGTTAATTCACGCGTCCGGGGTTCAAACCCGCGAAGAAGCCTTGAAGCAAATTCCACTAGGAGATTCACCTACAGCACCAACCTGCCATCACACAACGTTGATGATGTTAAAGACCATTACACTAACATGAAGCCAAAACTGCACGTTGCTGAAATTATGTCCATACCAGCTACCGAAAGACTTGCTGAAATATTAGATCCTATATACGAGACTGTAGAAAATGGTCTAACAAATGAAGGTTACGATTTCCTCAAAAGAGCGGAACACGATGATGATTCAGGTATAATCCCGAACAGAGCGTCTAATGCTGAAAATGAAGACGGTATTAAACATTCCACTGTTTCATTAGATTTTCCGCAATGGATAGAAAGTAAAAATGTAGCTATAGATTCATTAAATGGAGAAACATTACCTAACACAGAAAACATTGTAGATAATACGGAATCAGATCCAAATTACGAAATCATTTCCATACCGTTAGCAAAAAATCTTGAAGATGTTAAAAATACTGATAATCCTAAAGATGGTAGCAGCGGGATGGAATCGGAATATGAGGATTGTGAGAATATGCTCGATGAAATCATGCAATATATTGATTCAAGTGATAAAGCTGATGTTGTATTGGATCCGGACATTCTTTCACCGAATAGGAAAAGTGAAGATAAAATACTTTTTGTTAATGAATAGAAATAAAAACTACAGCAATCTAAAATCTTTTTTAAACCTTACGATACACTTTGATAAATTAAAAAAAAAACGTTCTGCTTTTGTTTTTGTTGCCATAATCTGTTGTTTAGTGTTATTTATAACTTTTGTAATAGCAAACAATATTTTAAAGTGTGTTAAATATAGAAATATAACAAGTTCTTGCTGACACTTCACCTGCATAAGGGCGCTCTAACGAAGACGAGGTAGAGATAATTTATTTTTGTCATATAAAACTATGTACTAGAGTCCAGTGTTTACCGAGACACAACCTAAGACTTCCAACCTTTTTATAACAACTTTCTTTTTATAAACAAATTCGATTTGATTCACTGCAAAGACGTAGATGAAATCGTTAGTTGCTTTTAATATTTAAATCTACCAAATTTAAAACTGTAAGTATGGATATAAAAATTTAGTTATCATAATATGTTATAAAATACCATTGCACTCGCTAACATACGAATTGCATTAGTGAATTAAAAAAATATTTGTCCGTCAAGTCGTCTAAATTATAGATCCTTTCGAATGCTTACAAAAGTGAGCGTAACCGTCGACGCACGCGCAGTCGGGTTACGGATTTTTAACTGACGCACCAAAAAAACAGTTGTACATCGCAATGATAACGTTTGGTTTAGTGGTATTGTTTCTGTTGGGAGTGGAGAGCTTTCCCGATGGAGCGCCGATAGACGCTTGTGTCAAAGATCGCGCAAACCAACCCAACCACGGGCAGCACAGGACGCAACCCATGTCCACGCTACCCTACAGGGTTGTCGCCTCTTCAGCGCACTACACCCCAAACTCCCGTATTACAGGTTAGTAAAATTAAAAGACAATTAAAAAGTCTTTAAATTTTTATTAGAAATATATCGTCTTGGTATATCTATTATCTATCTATCATTGACTGAAGTGATGGAATATTAAATTTGGAAATCGTGTCTTATCCTAAAAGAATAAGAAATTACTGAAAAGTCCAATTTCGTTGAAATATTTTAAATTGGTCATAGATTGAGTTAATTGCACTACTACACTACTACAGAAGATAATTCCGAATAAATTTTGGCGGATATGGGACTAGTCTTGCAAATATTTACGAAATAAAAATTACTTAACTTTTTATGAGAAACATAACATTACTAAAGAGCCAAAGCATACGCATCATAAGTATATAATTGAGATCCAAAAATTCATTAAAGTTTCAGAAACAACTTAAGACATCTCTTGTTATTTGTTGCAAAATGTTCACCACTATTATGCACACTCTTGTTTTGCAATAACTAAATGAATGTTCTATACAAAATACAGTTTTTGGTTTTGCAAATTTGCATTTGTATTTAATGAATGTGGAAAAGACGAGAGGTAAGGCATTTCGCGCCACATGGAAATCATTAAACTCTGCCTACCCCGTCTCACACTATAGGGTGTGTTGGTATTTGTAATTTTAAAAGTAGTTTTCACGACTCTTAATCAACACTCAGAAAAAAAGCCGTGATAGCAATGTATTTGTTCAAGTTAGGACATTGGATACTTACTGACAGTAAATTACACAATTGATGTTCACTGGCCGTAATGATAATGAATACAATACATTCGAATTCATTGATAAAATCAGAGACATGAGTAGGTACGAGTATAGTTGCAAGTTGTAACACATGCGAGCAACCTGTCCAAGTTCGATTGAGCAAGTTCCTCCGATGGCATTGTAGGTCAAACGACTTATGCCCAACCTATTACGCTATTGATTTAATATACTTTAGAAATATATCTAGTGTAGCTTTAACAGAGTAAAGCCGCAAAAAATGTAGCTAGACTTTTACAATCGTAAAGAGTTTCATGGACTACTTAAATGCTAATTATTTTTTATTTGTAAGAGAAAAGGGGAAATAGACGCGGGAACACCAAGGCGATCTTCATATCAAAACAATTGTTCCTTTTGCATTAAAGCGTTCTTCCTGGTCGTATCTTAATATGAAATAAAAATTACAGATTGAAAAAGACTACGTAACAGTTATTTATTATTCCATTTTGTACAATGACAATCATTCAATGTAGAAACGGCCTTGCTAACAACCTTTAAACAGAACTAAAAGGACGCTTAAAAATTAAGCCCATCGTATACTTTACAAAAATTAATTACATTTTGGATGTCTCGTGAAATGATATTTAAAAAATAAAATATTTTTTTCAGTAACAATAGAGGGAGCGGAACCATTTAAAGGCTTCTTTATACAAGCACGTTCTGTGGAAAGCAACGAATGGCTAGGGTCGTGGGAGCAGGCCCCCAACACCACTATACATCCGGAGTGCGCCGCCGTCACACACGCCGATCCACGTGACAAGACTAGAGCCGTGCTCGCCTGGAAAGCGCCCTCTAACTCACAAGGAGGAGTTTACTTTACGTATGTTTTATTTCGTTATATCTTACTAATATAAATGCGAACGTTTGGATGAATGTATGGATGTTTGAGAACATAGTCTCGATTAACATATAAGTTCCTTTTTTTTACGCAGAAGCACAGAGGAAATTGCGGGCCAAAGTTAGTTTTTAATATATGTAAAAGGTGAACTAAGACCAGAAAGTAATATTTTAAATAATTTTCATCCTATTTTAAACCAACTGAAGAATTTACAAAGTGATTTTTTATATCGAAGCTCGTACCTAATGATATCGATGCTTGGCGAAATGGCGAAAAAAAAACATCATTAAGAGGATCACAAATTGCAGTACCTCGCAATGTAGTCTAACTTGAACGAAGGGATACTAGTAAATACATAACTACATATAAAGTTATTTATGATAAATTCAGCTTACAGAAGCAATCCGTAGTAAGGTTTGGAAAATATTGTGGGCGGAGAAAACGATATCTGAACTGTGATTATTTCATCTATAAATGATTTTTAGTCTATATCTAATGGGGTCGTTAACCGATACCCTCACTTTACTCTCCTTTCACTTCGTTTGGAGTTGTGAAACATGACATGTAATTACTCATATGTACTTCATACTAAACGACCTTAAAATAAACATGACGCTAATTATATGTAGTATCTTTCGCGAAACATCGTCTAATATGGAAATTTCTAGAATTAAAAAATTATAAAAAGTTAAAAAGGAAAATACGCGGACTTATATAGTGGGTTTCTGAGAACAAATCAACGTTAAAAACATGTTCTCATTGCTATGTTTTATAGACATTCAGGACTCTGAAAACCACGGCTAGAAAATATTACGATTTAGACATCGAGGTCTTAGATATTCTTATGTGTTTTACAAAAGTATTAAGAAAAAATCGAAAAAAAATATATTTTTTTTTCTTTACAGAGGTACTGTCTTGAAGAACTACGGCACTTTTTGGGCGAATCTAATTGCGCAAGCACCGCAGGATCCATTACAGCTACAAATTCTTGGTTAAAATTATATTATTCGTATTGTAAATGATAAATAGGGAAAAATCGAGATATCAAATAATATTTTAACCCGTCTGAATTTGATTTTTAAGATAATTTAAGTTTGTACAATTGTCACTGTAAAATAGGATAAGGTAAAATAAAATCAATAAATTAAGTAAAAAAGTTACATTTTTATTTAATTGCGAGCTATATGCCGATACAAGTGTACAGTTTTCATATTATGCTGTATCTCTATTAATCAATATTTTGTTAATGCATAAACATAAATAAATCATATAATTTTCAGTCAAACAAAATTAAAGCATAAATACTAACTCCATGTTAAAGTTTGCGGCTGAGTCGTGTTAAAGCGAAAAGCGCACGTTATTGTGCTGTAAGCTAAACCAGTTCTTAATGCGCTCGTGTTTAAGGACCTTTTTGCTTGAGGACGGGCCTCTTTATGTCCATAAGGTCGCAAATATCGTTCCTTATCGGCCTCAGTTCCGCGACATCTCTTTCCCAATCTGTTTCGGCTAGGATAGTCATCACCTAGGAATATTAATAGTCAGATTAACATTTAATTTATGTCTCTATTTCCAATAATTAAACACATTTTACTTGTCTAATCTAAAGAACTGATGATTTTTCACACAAACTTACAGAGATTTTTTCTTCGCGAATTTTTTAGCTGAAGATCCCCGCCGTGGCTTTCACATGACTTACATTTGTCTTGTACGTGACTTACATATGGCTTATTAGTGACTTACACATGACTGACATGTGACTTACACATGACTGACATGTGACTTACACATGACTGACATGTGACTTACACATGACTGACATGTGGCTTACACATGACTGACATGTGACTTACACATGACTGACATGTGACTTACACATGACTGACATATGACTTACACATGACTGACATGTGATTTAGCTATAACTTACAAATGTGTTTGTGTCTATTCGTGTATTGTACCTGGTCGAGGTTGTGCTGCGCCGCGGTGCACGTGTCTCCGTACAGCGTGAGGGCCTCGTATAGACGCGCGGCGGCACAGCGGCGCACATAGCGGTCCGCGTAACACAGGTAGATGACCAGCTGGCCCAGTGCCTTGCTGCACACAGTGCCGCCAACCTGACACAAACGTGCCTAATGTATTACCTATTGCTATCTCACTCTACAGGGAATCATCTTACTAATACTATAAATGCGAATGTATGGATGGATAGAAATACAATACACACCTGTATCAATTGACACAAAACATTTATAGAATCCAACAACTTGTAAATATTTTTTCCTCCACGAAGCTCCAGTTGTAAGTATTTCAATACATCAGCTGCGAACGTCGACTCTGGATCATCTAGTATTGGCGATATGGCACCTAGGACAAATTATAAAGGCTCAAATTCAATACTCGAGAAGTAAATCCGCACCCTTAGCTATGTTTAATAGGCTCAAATTAAAAATACACACGAGACAATTAAAAGTTATTATTTCTAAGACTTTTTCATTTAGTAGTGTCATACAAAGACTTACATACCTGAGCTGAGCAACCTATCGAGAAAGTTGAACATTGGTCCGGTGATGCGCTTCACGTGCAAGTTGTCCGCGAACACTTGCACGATGGTGTCGCACACACTGCGCAGTGTCGGCAAGTCGTCGTGCAATGTGTGCAAGTACGAGTATAGAGATTGTGTCGTGTGTTTCACCTTAAAATATACATCTTAATTATAATAAAAATAACACTTCTCTTAATTAAATGACAAAATATTATTAATATTTTCAGATATCTTGGCGGCTCTTAACTTTGCATGAGTCGCTGCACAGAACAGCGCCTTAAGCCGCCATGAAAAGGAACTATACGATATTGTAGCTACAAATTTTATACATACAAGCATGTTTATTATGAACCCTAAAGTGAGCAATTAACCATTGGGAGAGACTAACGTTCTGAAAAAAGCTGTAATTAGAGGAACCGGTAACTAAAAAAAAATTGTATAACTCACCAGACTCTCAGTTAGTTCACCAGCGCTGACCACCAATCCTTTGATCACACTGTACCTATACTCGGGGTACTGCAGCAGCTGCACGAAGCGCGGCATCGTGTGCCCCGGGAACAGCCACAGCACCACGTTAGAGTTCTCGCTCACCACCGCATGTTCACCACTCTCAGCCTCCTCACCACCCGGCCTCAGTTCCACTTCGTCGTATGGAAAGATTCGCTTCAACGCCTCATGGTGAGGAATGTTGTTGATGACCGGATCACTGTTGGATGTACAACAAGAGTAAAAAAAACTAGCATTTTGCATATGAAAACAAATACTATAGTAGAAAGTAACATTTGAGATATCGGTTTAATTTTTAAGTAACATTCAATAATTTTTAATGTATAAGAAACACCGATTTCTGGCTGTTTGCGAAAGTACTACCTACTAATATAAACGTTATGAAAATAGAACAAACTTGTATATGAATGCGGTGAATATTCTGCCGGCGTGAGCGCGCGTGCGGTCTATCTTCTCTACAGCCTGCTGCGCCGCGCCGCGCACCGCCGCGCTCACTGCGCGTGCGCTGTTCAACTGTGGCGCCTCCACTGCGCACGCGCGGCACAGCGACAACAGACCTAACGCATAATATACATTTCTATATAGATCTCTATAGATGGATAGTCTTGACTATAAAAGCTTTGATTCATAAAGATTTAAATATGTATATTGATGTAACGTGACAGTTAATTCTATCTATATTATTCGTTCGAATCCACATCACCGCTACAAACCGAAAATTAAATAGGCACAAAATACTACATATTATAGCCAGTACATATAGTCAGTGCATATGTAGCACTCGCGCATGAAGGTTCATATAAGTTTTTTTTTAAAGTAAATGGTGTTTTAAGAGATTTTTTTAACAGTTTTTGAAAAATAAAAAGAATATAAACTAAAGTACTAAATTAAAAATGAGAAAAACTTACCAGTCATACTGGCTTCTCTGACCCAAGCACCGATATCACCTCTCATATCAATAGTATACTCCGACAGACAAGCCAACAGCGCGTCTATAATCTCTTCCACGTATTTCTCGACGCCGTCCACAATGCCCTGCGTGTGACACACCTCCGTGAGACCTATGACCGCGTCACGTCGCGACTCCGCCCACTTCTGCGTCGCCTCCGTCACTCTCGTACACTCAATCAGTGAGCGGATCACCAGCGGCAGATGCTCGCTCAGCACGAACTTCGGTAAAGCACCTGGATAGTACACATAATGTTAATATTATAAATGCGAATGTTTAGATGGATGCATGGATGTTTGTTTTTTATTTTCGCGCAGACAGATTCGCGGGCGAGAGCTTAATTTATAAAACGCAAACCATTTGGCCACAAGCATCGCCGACTAGGGCGATTTGAGCTAGATCTAGGGGTATGGAATTAGGTAAGATTTTTGTTCATTGACATTACGTTATTTTCAATATAATTTTTCAAGGTTAGCAATAATTACCAATAGCTCTTGAATAGCCCATCCTGAGCAGCAGTCCATTTGCACTGGTGCTGGCGAGCTGGTGACAGTACTTCTGCATGAGGTCTGCGCGCTTCTGCCGCGAGCTGTCGTCCGACAAGTACTGCTCGAACACCACGGGCAGCGCTTGGATTGCCTTCTCGCGGATCACTTGCACCTCATGACCCAAACATTCTTCTATCAGGTCCAGCCATTCATCTGAAATGTTATACCCCCAATGTAGTTTAAATTATTTTTTGCGAATTCATCATCGTTCACTAGACACTTTAAAGGTTTATAAATCTATACACAGTAATAAATATAGTGTCTGTATGTTATATAAAAAAAAATCATAACTGACAACGAAAAATCGGTCTGTATGTCTGTATGTGTCTGTACAAAGTAGCTGACGCACGCGGGCATATCATAGGCTACTGTGCTGACGAAGTCGCGGGCATCGAATAGTTACCGATAATATCCGGATGCTGGTGGCAGGGCGCGGCGGACTGCGACAGTCGCGCGATGCAGCGGCAGCAGGCCTGGCGCATCAGCTCGCCGCCCAGGCCGCGGAACTGCTGGCGCACGCGCAGCTTGCCCACCAGCTCCCGCACCGACTGCCAGATCTCCTCCGATATCAAGCTGTCCGCCATCTTACCTAATAGAACAATTTTTTTTTCTGATGTCATAAACGAAAGTTGGGAACCTGAAGGCTAAAAATCTAACGATATTTTATTTGTTAATACTTTTTGTGATAGTGAAATTATTTTACAGTGTCTATATTTGAAATATTCGATGAAAATATTTATATCAAGAAAATTTAATCGACATGATGCTTCAAATGTGTAACGTTTTTTGTTGAATAGTCTCTTGTTGTTTATTTAGGTGATTGGTAAAATGTTAAACTTACCATCATGTAATTTAGTCCTAGATAAAGCTAAGATGGCTTCACCAATACCAAGGATGGCACCATGTCGCACGTTCAGGTCAATGGAGCCAGTTTTGGTGACCAGTTTAGGAAGAACTTCTGTTGCTACATACTCTGGAATCTGAAAACCATTTGATACATTTTTATAGGACTTTATTTCTGAATATCTAAAAGTTTGTCAGAAAAACGATACATACATTATTCATTTTGAAAAGAAAATTTTGTACGTTTTTCAAAACGGCCGGGTAAAATAATAACACCAATATTACATATATTAAATGTATAAAATCAATAAATAAATTAAAAATAAGCTTAACCTACGACAATAAAATATAAACTGTCAGTTTTGACAGAAACTATTTTACTTGAATTTTAAATCTTGACGGCCAGTTTGAAAGGATGATAAATAATATTCGAGAAAAAAGGTTTTTAAACGCGATCACGTGATTTAAATAATTTTAAATCGCTTGAGCTCATATGAATATAAATGTCAATGATACTGAATAAGTAATATAAACAAGAATGAATATAAATAATATATAACCAAATAGAATAAAAATCTGTTCTTTTAGAAGTAACGACAATAATGTCTATCAGGCTGTATCAATCGCCTTCTGTAAGGCTTTAACCGACACTTCTAATTAAAAAAACTGACCTTATCAGTGAGTTTATTGAGTGCCTGTGCTGCTAGTTCTCGTATCGCATAGTCCCAGTGCTCTATTTTAAGATCCACCACGTGGTCGACAAGCGGGCGCGTGTACTCCGGATAGCTTGCGATCTGCGGCGCTATCACCAAGTAGGCGTTGTTCCGCGGCCCCACCGAGTGGAAGTCTGCGGTAGTCAGCACGTCAATGCCGTGCGGGAACATGCCGTGACGACCCACGTTCTCTTGGTACGCTGCGGATGCCGCGCGACGGCAGTTGATCTGGAAAGTTCTATGATTATCGCAAACAGATGTCGATGTTTCGAAATAGGTTTTACTGACAAGAGAGTTACTTGTAGTCTGAGTTTTATCATATATTTGGCCACCGCCAAGATTTATGAAAAGAATCGTCCAAGGTCATCAGCGTGCTGCGCAGTGCCCTCCCACTGCATCCCGCTAAACCTATAATGAGCCATTGACTCGCGTAAAGCTAAGAGCCACCAAGATATCTGAAAACTATTATACCTCTCTATCGAAGCAGGCAGTTGCAATCAGGGCGTTAGCGAGCGCGGTGGCGTGCGGTGCGAGCGCGGCGGCGTCATAGGCGCGTGCGAACGCCCATGCGGCGTGGCAAGCGGCGTCGCGTGCCGCGCGGCCCCCTGCCCCGCCAGCCGTACGCGCCTCGTCCCGCGCCAGCGCCGCCACCACGCACCGCGCCGCACCGCTCAGCTGCTGCGGGGACAGCAACCCACGACGAGCTACAAAACCCACACTTAGATTTAAACATTTCAAGAGGCATTATAATACGCTTCAAATAAGATAGTATAAGATGCAACTTCTAACCTCAGATTGAGGTTATTGACCCACATACTCTTGGCAGTATAACTTGCAGTATGTCTTACCTAATTCAGCCAAGGCCATGCACCCGCCATGCCAGGCCGTCTCTCGTTCGTTCTCAGCAAACAACGTGAGGACAATCTCACAGACGTCAGCGGCTGCGAGTGCGGGCAGGCGTGCTCCGATTCTGCCCACACCCTTAGCCGCTGACCAACGCACTACCGTGTCGTCGTCACGTAAAGAACACAATAATAGTTCCACTACTTCTTCCACCTATAAATAATAAAGAAAAAAAATTCTTTACATAAAAAAACTAACTCCTACTTATATTAATTCAAATTTTATTAAATAAAAACTATGAAATATCCATTATTTACCTCCTGTGGAATATCTTGATCATCATCATCAGGTGGAGCGGTGACAGGTTCAGTGTCCCCGGCAGCCGCAACCCCGCCCAGTGTAACAGCGAGAGACCTCGAACCCTGCGTGTACCGAAATGATGCTACACGAGGCCGTAAGAATGTTAATCCTGTTAAAAAAAAATTAATCAAGTTCCTTTTTTAATATTTGCGTGTTGTTTGCTAAACAGTACCAACCTAAGAAAATGAATCAGCCTACATACCAATTCTCTGCACAATTTTAACACCATATTTTCTAACGAGCATGGCATTGTGATGTTTGTAATTCTGATCCGTGACCCACTGGAGTAACTTTGGCGTGTACTGTAATAAATCATCTCTCTTCCCATGTTTGAGCACTGCGGCCACTGCTGCTAGCACACCATAATGTATTGTGTCTTGATCTTTCAAATTGGAATGTAAATCACAAGCCCAGTTGAAGAAAGCACCTAAATAAATTTCTTTAACATCAGACCTGTAGAAATAGCAAAAATTATTTAAACTTTGAAAGGCTTAAATGTTCCTTATTAGGCCCTACTTGGATATATATGAACAACACATAAATAAAGTTAATTCACACAAAAAAAACATTTAATATTTTATTTACTTTCTATATACAGGGACATTTACTTAATATATATATATATTACTTAATAATCCTTGATTATGTTTCCTTACCTAGTAAGAAATTTGGAGGCTAAATATGCACTAGCCTCAGCACAGGAATCCTTGCTACAAGCATATAATTTACACATGTTGAAAATTCTCTCCATTACGGTTAATTTTTTAGATGACTCAGCTGTTCCTGTGTAAAATAAATTAAATATTGTAACTTATAATTATGAGACTAGTAAATTATTTTTTTATGATGTACCTGGTTGGTCTGGAGCAAAACCATCCAATCGACTCATATGAAAAGGAATGATAACAACGATTGAGAGCCAAAGAAGCAACACAAGTCGACTCCGCCATGTTTCTTTGTCCATTGGATCTTGTGCTTCTAGGAATGTTAAAACAGTTAAAAGATCTGATACCTGAAAATTTATTTTATAATATTATCCTGTTCCTTTTTATAAGCTCATTATATTTTTTTCTTTGTAAATAGTCAATATACCTCATGAGGCAAATGCCTCACAACCACTTTGTATCCTCTGACTCTTATAATTTGATACATATAGTTGAAGGTGGCATGTTTCAATCCAGTAGGAGATTCTTTATCCTTAATCAACGCAATAAATTTGGATAAAATCTTATCCAAGTGAGGATCAAGTAGGTGAGGTTGCTCATAATATTGCTTCAGAATACTGTACAATCTATCATAATCTACTTCCAACTGAGGCGTGTCATAGATATTTTTCAAATTATCTATCATGTTCATCACATCTTCCACCTCTGAGAAATGCTCTAAAGCACATCCTAGACCAATATTATCACATTCGTCATCCTTGTTCAAGTCCGCGTCTAACCCAACCATCTTTGAAGATTGAATCAGATTATTTTTTTCTTAAGATCAACGTTAAGAAATAATATTTATATTATGATAGTTTTTTAAATAGACGATACGAATAAACTAAAAGAAATAATTAACAATTAATCCACCGGACAAGAAATGCCCAAACAAAACAATTGCTAGAATTGACATTGACATTAATCCGTCAATTTTATTTTTTGACATTCATAGTTAAGGAATGAAGGAATGAGTATAGAGTAGAGTACGATATAGTTGTATTTTGTAAGCTTTAAAGGCTCCTTATACCGCGTTAAAGGAGGGAATACTGTTCTTAGACTAAACAATTTTCAATAATAATGCACTTTGGATTTTTAAATATGTCATGAAGTTTACATTCAGTACCTTTTTACGTTTAACGTGTTGGTCCATGTGTATGATTTTTCAGTCAGCATCGCAAATAGTCATCCCTGCTTTTCGTTCGTTGAAAAAATGTTGTTTAACTTGTAATATAACCAAGAATTAATTTTTACCTTATACCATGATTTTGTTTCTCTTGATCTTTTTTTCACTGCATTGCAGCTTGCAGCAGTATGACATGTGTATCAATTCATTCACTCACTTATTCTTATTATTCGACTTAGCAAAAACTGAAAGCTTGATGTTCAATTATATTTATTAAAATTATATCTAAGGACCTTGAACTAAACGTTTTCTTATATCTTGGGGTGTAAGAGGTTTAATTAGAATTTAGTTTAAAATGTGTATCATAAAATTTGGAATATGTATGTTTATTTGAACTTTAATGGTGTACTAAGTTATTTTTAACTAATGCCGAATTAATGAAACTTCCTTTTAATTATAGCATTCATTTATAGGTATATATATTTAGTGATGTTAGAAAAGTAAGATATTTGTGAGTTGTTTCATTTATATAGGGTCGGCGTTTTATTGTTATATTAGCGTCGTTCTTTTCAGGTTTTTGATGGCAATTTGATCTTGACTCAATACAAAATATATTTGGAACCACGATGAGTAACCGTAAGTTTACTGTTTATTTATGTTCTACAGTGCCTTATATTCTTAAAAGAGTAAATAGCAAGAGCATGGAAAAATTGTGTTGTGTGAGACAAAGTCAATGTATTGTGTGCATTTTGATTTTTAGCAGGTAGAGGCCTGGCAAAACGTAAAGTTAAGCCAGTTGAACCACAGTCATTGTTAGACTTTGATCTTGGCGAAGGGGAGAGTTCCGATGATTCAGATTTTAGGATCGAGGACCATCCCGAAGAGAGTGATGACTACTCTATAAACACAGATGATGAAGAAAAAAGTTAGTATTCATAATCATATTTAGCTTATCATATTAAATAACTAGTCAACATTTTTTGTTGCAAATATAGCTTGTTGGATTTCTTAATAAGAATTTTTCATAGCCATAGTAGTAAAATTATTTTTTTGTTGTAATTGTAAAAACAAAATGATGTAATATTTTAAGTTTATTTGTTTCTTTCATAGTTTTAGACAAATAATCCATTGAACTGACTTGGGATAATTCATGGAGCAAACTATTTCTGTTTTTTTTTCTTATTAAATTTATTGTATTGAGATACAATTTTTTTTATTATTGCAGAAGAAAATGCAAACAGTGGTAGTTCAGATGACCAGTCCGGCTCAGATATTGAAAATGATTTTAAGAACTCTACTAATAAATTGGGTCAAGTGATATGTGTTACTGATTTACTTGAAAAAGCAAACAACAGAGAGTTTAAGGTATTTATTGTGATTTATTAAAGTAATTTTTAATGCTACAACTGTAGTAAATTAGTCTTGAACTTAATTCAATATTAACATAATTTGAACAGTTTCCAGGAGAATTAGCTAACATGTTGATTTGTGCCGGTTGCTTGGGTTCAAGAAGTGATGACTTTAATGAAATTGTGGAATGTGATGGTTGCGGAGTTACTGTTCATGAAGGTACAACAATTTTATCAACATGAAAATAAAAATATCTTCATGATATAATTAAGTTAAATAAAGAATGCCACATTTTTTAAAATTAGTCATAGGTGATCCAGCGTAATATGACTTATTTAATGAAAAAACTAAAAATTTACTAAAAAGAATGCATATAATTAATATTTTCGCAATATATAGCTCTTTTTCTTTCTTTTACTCATAATCTTAAGAATGTCTATTAGTAATTATTGCCGCATTTGTACCTGCTTTGTACAATAAGGTTTTTGAACTAAAAATCAAATGGTAATAAGTTTTGATAGCATATTGTTCTCACTCCAGGTTGTTATGGAGTGTCGGATGTGACAAGTGAATCAAGTACAGTAAGTTCTGCATCAACTGAGCCATGGTTCTGTGAGGCTTGCAAGGCAGGTGTTACTGATCCCAACTGTGAACTATGTCCTAATAAAGGTAAATTATTTAAACTATGGTCACTACACTTTTTATTTGTTTATTTGCATTGAATATGCTCTGAAACTGCTGAACAGATTTAAAAAATTCTTTCACTGCTGGGAAGCTACACTGTTTGTTGACAATTCCAGGTGGGCGATGTCGCAGGCAACTGCTAGTCTATAATATAGATGGAGTGAATCGAAATTAATTTATAGTACCATTGCAAAATCAAGTTTACTATACTGTTTTGTTTTACTAAATGTATCTTTTCAGGTGGTATATTCAAAGAAACTGAAGTGGGTGCTTGGGTTCATCTTGTTTGTGCTCTATATGTGCCTGGAGTGGCTTTTTCTGAGGTAAGAGCTTATACCTTACGATGATATATAATCTTGTTAATTAATGTGAGAAAAACATTTTAATGCAAAGTGCAATTAATCCTTTAATTTTTGTATAATGCGTTTCAAATTTCTTGGCGGCGCAAGGTCATCATTCACCTAACATTGTGTTCTGCGCAGCGACACGCAAGTTTAGAGCCGCCGTGATATCTATAAACATTAATATTTGGATGTAGGTAGTATATATTTGATGTGTTGTAATTGTAAGGTGGAGCGGCTGTCCGGGGTGACGTTATTCGAGATGGCGTACTCGCGTTGGGGCGCGCGGTCGTGTGCGCTGTGCGAGGACGCGACGCTGGCGCGCACCGGCGTCTGCGTCGGCTGCGACGCCGGCATGTGCAAGACATTCTTCCACGTCACTTGGTTAATTACTGCATATTATAAACAGTCGAATCTGGACAAGCGACAGCTGGATAATTAAGAAATCAATAGAAACGAGCCTCGTCCGTTACCGACGGACGACTTCCATAGGCGAAAAATTCGGGATACAGAGAAAACTCTTATAAGCGAGAATAATACCGCGGTCCCTTGGACTCTCGCTTATTCATATTGAACTAGATAGGCAAACGGTCGAAATTTTTTTTGTAAGATAATTCGGTTCTTTCTTTTTTTTTACAAACAATTCAACGTGGTTTTTTTATAATCAAAATTTTAAGATTTTGTTCAAATCGATATATTTAGAATCGACTATAGTCTTAATTTTAGCAAACATCCATGTTAATGAACACTAAAATGACTTCTAAAAAATAACATTTTGTGACTTATGTGCACGTAGATATAAAAAATATGTCCAGAAAAAATACAAAGTAACCTTGTGATAATAATATCTATTACCTTTCTCCTATATTTAGTGGTCAACGTGAAGGTTTGTTAGCGGAGGCCCATTCGGAGGAAGTGGAACAAGCAGACCCGTTCTACGCGCACTGCCGGCTGCATTCGGATAAGACACTTGTTAAAAAACGCAAACGCAACTGGCTGGCCTTGCAACTTAGAACTGAGAAGAGGTAATTTGTAGACTAAATCAATCATACTAGCGAAAGTTTAGATGGATTGCCAGTTGGATGGAAGGATATTTGTTAGAAGTTATTTCCAGAATGGCTCCATGAATCTCGCTGAAGAATGGTGTAGAGTGGAACACAGACTACTATTTTTTTAATTCCATGGGGACAGCGTGGCTTGCGACAGCTAGTATGTGTATATTGGTAAAAGGTGCAATTTTAACGATGGTTTTATATTTTTCAGAAAAATGGAACTTAAAATGAATCTCAGCACTGACGAAAAGCTTCGGATACAAAGAAAATTGGTTAAATATAGAAGAAAGTATGCACAGCAAAAAGAAAATAGAAATCCTCCTTGGGGTAAGAAAAAACTATTAAATTAATTTTAATATGTGAATTATTTATTTAATTGATATTTTAATTTCAGTTCCTACTCAAAAGATGGCGCGCATGTTGTATAGTAGTGCTTCAGCTATGAGGAAGTTTCAGAAAAAAGCTGAATGTATGGGAATCGATACACATGCTTTGGAATTTCAAGATGCGCAAGTAAGTTGTAGAGAATCATAAATCTATCTTACAGCGAATTAAAATATTCAATGCCAACTTACATAAAATTATTTTCAGATGTATTTTTGTACCTCTATGCCATGCAATCTGAAACCTTTATAGCTAGGATTAAATTATAATAGTCAGCGTTTTTTTTTTAGATTTTTATCCAAATTAATCAAAATTGATTTTCTCGCATATGTAGATTTGTGTGCATCTAAACATCTGAACGTATTTTAAAGAATGAATTTCATTCGATTCGTATTCTTCCATTGAATGTTCCTTGTTTATTTAATAAATATTGTTTTTTAAAATGTTATAATTGTTTTTTTTCTGTTGTATTATAGATGGCAGCACTGAAGGACGTGTCCCGGCGGTGGCACGTGCCGCCCGCGTTCTCAGTGGAGTTCGTTGGCTACTACCTGGAGAGGAACAACCGCGTCACTTCACTGCGCAAGTCTCTCGAGCGTCTCACAAAGGAGAACGAGAAACTGTTGAGTGAAGACGACAAGCTCAGAGCTGATTATGATGAGGTATCAAACTTTGAACTTAATTTTTCCATAGTTTTTTTTAACAATGCCAACTCTGCGAGATTATTTGCATAAAAGTCGTGGTGGCATGGAATGTCTTAACATCTTACTAATAATCTAAATGGGAATGGCTGGATGGATCTCGCTGAAATTTGCAAAGGATATAGAACATAGCCTGGAAGAATACATAGACTAAGCTTTTTTTAAATCTCCGCGGATGGACTTGCGGGCGACAGCTAATAACTTAATAAATATAATAGATTACACGTAAGATTTGTGTAGTGTCTACGATATCGATAAATGTTTTTTTTTTTATTATCTAGGCAGCACAAGAGAATACAGATGCGCTGAATGAATTAACTTCAACACGTCAAGCATTACAGAAGATTTACGACGCGATTATTATGATATCTCCAAAGAAGACAGTACCGTCTGTTATGGAAGATAAACCCTTACTGCCGCCTCAGTTGCCAAGATCGACTCCGAAAGTCACACCACAACAGCTACAAAAGCGGTATGTACTTTTTACACTGTATTACCTTGCTAATTTAAGTTGTCTAAAATTTACCTAACATTGTATCTATGTGTATACATATCCTACTTTGTACTTGGAATATAATTTATGATATATCATTGTGGTATGTCTTTTTAATGTATAAATGAATATGTTAAATATGTAATTTAGAAAATTAGAAATGATGTTATTATAAAATCGGAGAACTAGGAGCGGAATAACAAAAATATAAAAAGAAAATTACAGTCGAATTCAATCAATATTAATTTTAAATTATAATTAATACTATCGTAAAAAAAGCGAGAACTTAGTTGCGCACCTAATATATAGAGTGGTTGATTTAAGTTGATGTATGTTCCAAGTATATTGTGTATGTGAGGGTGAATTGGTCGTGTATTATATGTTGTGCCGGCCACAGGTCAATGTCTGTGCCCACCGCTGCCGCACTTAAGATGGGCGTTGGTTTTCCTCTTAGCGACAACCCGGACGCTCGCCAAGGAAAAGTCCTCTCCACATCGCTTGAAGGTTAGTTCTGTCTTTCTATCGTATTGTACGTGGGACAATTTAATAAGCCATATTTGTCAATTTTATCTTTATAGTGAGGTGAGCTGCTTTATAATATCGATTTAAGGTGGATATATACTATAAGAAAGAATTATTGTAGAAGCGTGTGAAATAGAGGTGAGTAGTATGAATAGTGTTGTATTGTTTGTGTGGCAAGCCACGAGCGGCGGTCTGGCGGCGCGCGAGTGCGCGGCGTGCGGCCGCAGCAGCGAGCGACATCTCATGGCCGCCTGCGACACCTGCCGCCACCACTACCACCTGCACTGTCTCAAACCACCGCTGCAGCGCCCGCCCAAGAAGAGCAAGCTTTACGGATGGTAAGTACCCAACGCACCTAGATGTGGTATTATAACAGCCCCCCCCCCCGCAAGTCCGACCATTGAGGTTTTACATTTTTGCAGGCAATGTTCCGAATGCGACAAAACTTCGGATTCCGAGCCAGAGGTAATGGAAAAGAAGGTGCCCCGGCGCTCGCGCATACGTTACAGCAAGGATGGCACCATTATTACCGAACCTCTGAGTCCCGGCATCGTACCCAACTCCCCGCCGACCAAAAAGGCCCATAAAACAGAAAAATCGAAAACGAACGGCCTCGGAATCCCCGAAAATATCTCTCCCATCAAAGTCACGATCAAACCGTTCGAATTTAGTAGCGACGGTCATGAAAATACTGAGGTTAAATCAAAGAAAGATAAAAAAGCGAAGTCTTCGAAGCAAAGAGAATACGCGACATCCGGCGGCGAAGAACATCCCATGAAGAAGTTGCACAAGCGCAGTTTTACTTCTCCCACTCTCACAAACACTCCTCTCATGTCGATAACTCCTATAGTCGCCGACAGTCCTAACGACTCTCACAACGAAAACTCGAATGCCTCCCTCACAACCGCCTCGGGGAAAAAAGAAGACGGCTACTTACCACAGAATCTCTCGTTCTCCTCTCTACTCGGCGATGCAAAAGAGAGAGACTCGAAGACAATCGAGAGTTCGATAGAGAACACTCTCGCTAATCTCTCTTCCGACATCGCGACTTACAAGGCGAATAGAAAACGTAGGAAAGAGAAGCATAGGTCGAGATATTCTCCAGATTTGTTGCGATCTCCCTCTAAACCGCACAAACATAAGAGAAAAAAGAAGACACAGGATTTAGAAAATCCTGAAATGCCTCATCCGAGAATTACCATTAAGGTACATACTTCAACTAATTTTAACAGAGTTTATTTATTATTTTTCCTTTATTGTTAGTAGTAGTAATATAAAGTATTTTTTTTTAAATAATTTCAGATCAAGCCCATTCCAAAGCCGGATGGTTCATTAGACACGCAGATGTTCTATGTCCCGACTGACAGCAACGACGGCCCACCGCCCGCTGTTATGAAAAAGCTATCCAAGGTATTATACTATAGACAAACTAATTTTATACATAGCACTAACTTTCTATATTGTAACAGATAAAAAAGGAAATGTATTAAATTTTTTTTAATCAATTTTTTTTATAGCAAGCGACACAAATAACAGTCCCCGAATCAGAGGCGCCGAATGATTCGCCATCAGAACCACAAGAATCCACTGATACTTCGCTCACTCCTGTTGTAAGTATATAACATTATGTTACTAATACTGTAAATGCGAATGTATGGGTGGATGGATGTTAGAAGATATCTCTAGAACTGCTGCATTGATTTCGCTCAAATTTGGTATAGACGTAGGACATAGCCTGGAAGAACAGTTCGGCTACCATTTTCTTTTTATTTCGTGTGGTCGGAGTTGCAGGCGATAGCTTGTAATATATAAACTAACATTAACAGGAATTAAATGTAGATAACTGTGTCAAGTACCATTTCTTTCTATTTACGTATTTGATATTTATTAACATTTGTATATTAAGCCTGGTCTTAAGTATACAAGAAAAGAAGTAGCACAAACCTCGAAGACAATATTTACAATAACAAATATTATATCCTTACATACAATTGATTGAATTTAATATGTTCAGTAAAAAGTTATTAAGAATTGTAAATCTTGGACGTTATTATTTTACCTAATGTTATTTTTCAATATGCAAATTGTCCGTGCGAAACTGAGAAAGGATCATTTGTTATTCAAATATATTGCTTCCAGTCAAAGTTTCTTGGTGAAATATTCAAACTTCACTTGAAACTTGGTGAACCAAGGGGAAAGTTAGAAAAGTTGATAATTCTCGAATACTGTTGAGTCATCTTCGTTAACACATTCAGTGCTGCGCTCGCCTTACGAGTTCTTTTATTTTCTAAAAATAGCATCGAAAGTGTTAATGTTTAAGCTTTACAATGTGTTGATATTTAATGCAAGCAATCCACAAAGGAAGAGAAAAAGGACGTCGTGGTAGCATCTGTGTCAACAAAGCCAAAGGTATTTATTACTAAAGGTATAAAATAACAAATAACACTGTTGTTGCGCAGTGCGCCTTTCCCGCATCCTTTTACACCTAAATTTTCTTCTGCGGATCGACTTGTTTGTAGGTCCGAGCTGTCTAGATATTTGAAAACCTTAATACTAGGCGTGTGTAAACCATTTCTGAACCGGTTCAATAATTCAAGTCACATAGACTTGAACTGTTGTGCTGCGGCTCCGTACTAAATTTGCAGCGAGCTGTGAGCTCATACCTAGCTGGTACAAATTGGGCTGCACTGCGACTCGGTTCACTGATCTGCTTCACATATTTGAACCGTGAGCTGATCTGCAGGTCATTAATTTTAATTGAGTTACCCATGATTACTTAATAATAGTGTATAATATTTGGCTCAGCGTGGTCGTGAGGCTCGCGGACGTCGCAGCGGCGGCGCGGAGAGCGGTGGAGCGGCGGGTGCGCTTGCACCGCTCACGCACTGCGATGTGTGCACGCAGCCCGGCGACCCCACTAATCTCGTGAGGTAAGTGTGTACACATCATATTTATCTATTACATACAATATTAATATATTCACACTCTCCACTAAACGAAGAAGAAAATGAGAAAAATGCGAGTCAAGTCGACAAAACTAGTGCGCTCCAGCTGTTTGATCTCAGGGTTGGCGGAAAAAAATTGACAATGAATTTGAGTAATTAAATAAATATTCTGTTAATAAGAAAATACATTAGATATTTTAGTATTATTTGAATATTAATCATTAAATTTACATCAAGTTAATCGATTTAAAAATATTATTGACGTGGGTCAGTTACAACTTTAACCTATCAACTTGAGCCTAATAGGTTAAAGGTTAACGATCACAATTAACCTATTAGGTAATATTCATTTTGTTATAATATTTAGATGTGACGAATGCCAGCGACGTTACCACTTCACTTGCCTGGAGCCGCCACTGAACAAGAACCCGAAGAAGCGCGGCTACTCGTGGCACTGCGCGGACTGCGACCCCACTGTTAGTGAATACATCACATTTTACGACAACATTAACAACGCTAATTTAACATTGTCGTCACAAGCATGCGCTGACTAACAGACTAACACCGCTTTTGGATACATGGCTATCAACATTATTCCCAAAGAATATTTCTTTTGGGGTATATATTTTTTTAAAGTGAGGAAATGCATACGCATATCCGACTCTAAGGCGCAGAGTCAAGCGGGCGAGAGTTTTGTATTTTCTATCTGCAGTTTTTAATCTTCGTAGGATTTGAGACGAAGTTCTAATGTCAAAGAAAAGTCATTAGTTTTGGCTTTATTTACATTTGAGTTGATATCATAGTTCTTATGATATTTATTTACTCTTGATATTATGGATTTTTTAATAGAATTATTTTTTTCCGAGGACAAACTTCTTTATCACGCGTTTCCAAAGAGTTTATAAATACGTTATATTTTTTTATCTTATTAATCCTAAGTAAAATATGCAATGTATCTATAAATCGTATTTACGATTTGTTTGATCGATATTTTTATACAAATGAAACAAAGATGTAGTGTCAATACTTTTTTTTTCAATTTTGGCGCAATTTTTTTATTACAAATTACACAATAATAATATTCTTTTTGGAAGAATTTATATCTTAAATTTAAATTTAACTTGAATGTATTTAACTTGCATATTTTTGGTATTGTATTTATTCAAATTTTGTTTATTAGTATTCAAAATTCGCATGCATTTTATTACTTCTTTTGTAAATAAATGTGTCTGTTCTTGAGTTATACTTTAAAATCATTTTTTATTAACTTTACAACTACAGTTTTTCGATTGCAAGTTAATTTATTGAATAAGTTGAGTTATCCGTTAGTTTCTAAGACAAAAATCTCTTTATATCACATATCGTCATCCTTGTCCTTATCATTGACAAAACAGTGATAACAATATGTTTTATATTAAGATTTTTGTCTCAGAAATCCACGTTAACTCTCACTTTTAGTTATGCGTAAGATTAATACCCTCTTTTACTTAAATTTAAAGTATTTACCGTGAGTTTCCCAGACCAAATCCCTGTATAAATCCTATCGTCGTTGCTGTTAATATTTTTGACAAAACAGAAATAGCAATATGATTTATACCGAGATTGGTCTCAGAAACCCACGGTTAATAAACCTGGTACATGGTTATCGGTTAACATTGTTTATATATTTTATCTTAACCGATAAGAGATCTGTGGATCTTATCTAAAAAATCTAAAAATTGTCTAGACAAATTTTTAATCGCAGTCCTTCGACTATTTAAAATTAACATCTTTGTTTTAAATGGCAATAATCGGTCAAGCAAATTGGAAGTTAATTAATTAAAAATTAAGTCGCTAGATTATTGTTTTTTTTTCAAATTCTTCCATTGATAATTGCTATTTGTTTACTAATAGCTAGAGTTATCATTTGAGCTAGATATTATAAATTAGTTTTTTTCCAGGACGTGGAGGAAAACAACTGAGCAGTACACAGACATGCAGAAATGAGATGTTATTAAGTATTTAAATAGTGCTAAGCACTTTTTCTTTATAAGTTCTATTGGCGATTTCCTTACACGAAGCATTTAGTGTAGTTAGTACTTAAGATTTAATTCTCAATGTTGAGTACATTGATGTTTATGTAGTCATTTGTGGTACTTTCAATAAATGTGTTAAGAAACAAATATTTTTTTTTATTTCTCAATTTATCAAATTCCTTTGCCTTTAAAGTCTGTAGCAATAATACTAATTAGTGTGTAATAAATAAAAAAACAGTAAAACGAATAGATGACTTTCATTTTTGTTCGGCAGAAGTAATTCGCTAGAAAAAGCTTTGATTTCTTGCTCGAAGGAGTCCGAGAAAAGTTTGATCAGCGAAGCGAGCTGAGCCAATCGAGTAAAAGGAAAAGATCAGTTCTCTATTATCTAGTCGGAGAGGCGAAGAGGACGTACGTTAACGCTTCATTTGTTACAAATCTTTATTATTTTAGCGCTTTCATACTAATTTCACTTATTTGCCTTATAAACAAGACAATTTTAATGTGTCACGTGGGGGTAAAGTAGATATTTCTTTTCCTTCGTCGTTGCAGTCTTTTTAGACTGGTCGTGGTCATCAGGTATCGGCGAACCGCTTCACAAGGCGCCTCCACTCCTCCCTAGTCGTACCTTTTAACTACATTGGTGAAGCGTGACATCTACAGCCGCTCTGAGAGCCCTTGAGATGGACTAACCAAATAGTTAGTCCATCTAATGGGCGACCTTCCTCTTCGTCTGGTGCCTTCCACTTTCCCCTGAACCACCAAGCGCTCGATAGACTCGTTATTAATTGAATTTTACGAATATTAATTTCATACAATTTTTAGCTAACTTTGCACAGAACAGTATAACGCTCGTTCCCGCAACAACACAAAAGCTGCGAGTAACGATTAAAAAAGTTTTATTTGATTAATGTTCATACAAAATTATAATTAGTTTTTTTAAATACACTTTTGTATTGTATCGTAGTAAATACACAGTTCAACATTAAAATAATAACATATTGTAGAATTAAAACTAATCTATTTTGCTATGTAGTAAATACCCATTGTCTTGGCTTAATGCGGTAGTGGAATCGTAATATTAACAATAGCTATGGGACATTAACAGTTCAACGATTACACGTAGCCATAAATTTTCAAGACCGTAATTATTTCTTGGTCTTGAACAATATTGAACATCAAATAATTATACAGATCATAACTATAAATACTAAGGAATAATGGATAATATATAAAGGTGCTTAGTAGTTAATTTAAAAACAGTCTCAAAACACGAGTCCATTGACTTTTTTTTTAAAGATGCTAAAATACAAATCACCTTTGATGGTTACTGACCTAGTTGATGGGAACTGAAAATGTGGTTTAAATCCCAAATGGAGTTTTGTACTGGAAAATAACTTATTAATGATTTTGTACTATTGAAATGAAGTCGAAAGTCATAACTATTGTGTAAAATAATTGAATTATAATTGGAAAAACAGATTAGTTTAGTTAAAATAGTATCGAATTATGTTGTCAGTGATTAAAAACCAATTAATTATCTACACAACAATGAAAATAATTTATCTTTGTGTCATTAATGTTTTCAATTAATTTTATTTATCATCTATTGTAGCATTATTTTCTCGCCGGGATCTAGGTTGACCTGGAGACCTTGATAGCCTTGACTCAATTACCTATTTAGACTTATTTAATTTGTTTTTAAATCTTACTTCTTACTAATATTGTAAATGCAAATATTTAGATGGATGGAGGCTCAAGGGATCGCGATGTAGTTTGTCATAGATGTAGAACATTCTCTGGAAGAGCACATACTAATTAAGTTTTTTAAATTCCGCACGGACTCGAATGTTCACGAAGCCTACTAATATGTGAGAAATATTTTTTTTTTCTTAGAAAACAGCTGGTTATTTTACATTCTACACACGTGCTTTGTTTAGTATGGTTAGTAAAATTACCGCAGACCTAGTTTTTTGACATCATAAAATGACAAGGACGTTCACCTCTTATAAGTGATTCATCATTGCGATGCCCAGATATGATTGTTCTTAAAATATATAGAACAAACTTGTGAATTTGTGTTTAAATTAAGTTTTATAAAGATTTTGTCCTAATAGTTAAAATTAAAATTGTTTTAATTTGATAGTTGGAGGGCTTATTATTATAATACAAAAGTGTTATTTTATCTATTATAGATAATAAGCTTAGAGAAAGTTAAACACTGAACCTGTATATAAAATATGAATTGCTAATCTACAACAAAGAGTTTTGCAATAAGACGTTGTCATACAATGTCCTCTTGTTTATTAATTCTAAGTTAAACATTAGTCGACATAATTAGTACTAAAATCATAATATTTAAAATTAACAAGCAGTAAACTCTATCCTACTCCTTTCAATACATTTTGCTTCCATTAAAATCAGAAGCAATATAAAAAACGTCATGTTATTAACACGATTTTCCTTCTCCGCGGACTGCATGATAACGGTTGCGTTAAATTAGTATTCCGTACTTATTTCGTACGTATTCATCCATTGCTTTTTCAATATTTACACCTAGCTTGTCCTCCAGTACAGTCGTGTACGCAAGATACTCGAAAGTAATTTTTAACTCGACACAAGTATAAGTGATCGTTGAAGTGTCCAAACTTGTGATAATGACCTTTTGAATTTTGTGGTGTTTAATTTCATATTGTTACTTGAAGTGCCAGTACTAATAAAATGACGGTGCCGGCCGGTAATATTGTCGTCGGTATAATGGAAGATCTGTCTCCTAAGGATCATCAAGTGCAAATAAAGAACAGACTACTTATTTGGTGTTTGCTGTGGTGGCGAGCCATTTTCGCCGAGTTCCTATCGACAATGTTTCTGGTGTTAATCGGCTGCATGACATGTATACCGAGCGACGCAATTCGCCCCAACCCTCCTATCTACGGTGCTCTCGGATTTGGATTTGCCGTGTTGTTTACTGTGCAAGTTTTCGGACATATTTCTGGTGCTCATATGAATCCATGTGTTACTTTAACTGCGGTGTTATGGAATAAGATATCTTTACCACTTGGTGTAGCTTATGTTATAGCTCAATGTTTGGGTTCGATTTTTGGTTACGGTATTCTAATGCAAGTGTCGCCGACCGATTTGATTTCTAATGGTATTTGTACGACTCAGCCCCACGAGAAGTATACTGTGCTGCAAACTTTAGGCGTTGAGTTGATTTTAACTTCGTCTCTGATATTTTTAGTCTGTGCAATATGGGATCCTTTGAATAGTAATTCCCAGGAATCTACTTCATTGAAATTTGGTTTCGCGGTAGCGGGGTTTTCGATGGCGGGTGGTCCATTGACAGGCGCTAGTCTTAACCCTGCGAGGTCCCTAGGTCCGGCCCTGTGGACGGGTGTTTGGACCTTTCACTGGGTTTACTGGACGGGTCCCTTGGTTGCCAGTATGCTGGTGGCGTTATTATATAAATACACCTGGTTAAAACCAAGTCTTGATGTAAAGGTAAACTTAGAACAGTAATTCTATTTTAATTGTTTTTAGTGTGTTTTGTTTAGTGTGTATACAGCTAATGGAATCAACGTTTTAATTATTATATTATTGTAATATTAGTTAAAGCTAAGCAAAATAGTCATCATCATTCATATTATTAATCTTGTCTACGTCAGGATTTAAGTTCAGAATAGTAGATGCTATCCCTATTGCTTTTTGTATGTCTGTTAAAAGTAAGGTAGTAGGCACGTCGGTTTACGCAAATTGTTTATAAAACACAGGATTCTGCTGCATATCCTTTGCTGGCACCTGTACCCTGATGTCCTTACTGGAGTACTGGTGTGCTGATTCTACACGCGTTGGATCTTGGTATCACGCGACAGTATATGTATTGAGAAGATTTTAAAGAAGTGGATAATTTCATTAGTAATGTAAATCATAATAACTTCATAATATTAAAGTTCAAATATGTTATTATGTAACATATAAAAATAAATATGTTTTTTTTAAGAAAATGTGAATGTAAATCTGTGATTACAACTTATGTCCTTGTTAATTATTGGTGTGAATAAATTTTAAAAGACTGATAAATACATTTTTGAAATACAATTGCGTATTATTGAGATATGCATAAAATGAGAACCATATATTTATACTAAGTTTGGTTAGTTCTTGTCTTTATATTTTTCTGGAGTAACTGGTTTGTAGGCCGACTTGTTTTTTAGTTATTTTTGCCAACTACGTACTTATCATTGATGTAAGTAAAGAAAAAACATATTGCATCAAAACAGGTTTTTGTATTATAAACGTAGTGTGTCATTAGAACAATATTACAAATATTGACTTAGGAGATACTGCTTTATAAAGAGTTGTCGACAAAGTTTTTTATATTTAAGAAATTAGTTTCATATTTTTGGACATTTTCGTGAATTTTTTTATATCCCTGGTTAAATTGATATAGGATATATTTTTAATATATTTATTCGAAAGATACAATTGGACTAAAATGATATTTTATCGAAGCATAGTCAGGTTATAAGTATATTTACAAATGAAGTGTGGAGCAATTAAACGTGGGGACACACTGTTACACCAACTTTGATAAGAGAGAAGAGAATTACTAAATAATGTACATATAAAAACAAACATATATTTAGCTAGCAGTATGACCCATTGAGACTTAATTAATATTTTTCGAAACAGCCATGTAACCTGTTTTTAAGCGGGATTTATATTTACAAATATTTATATCAAAGTGAACTATTTGTTCACAGGATTTAGACGACTTAGGACATTTTCTCTGTACCGTAGTTTTATGGTAAACACATAATAGTTTATCTTTGAAAACATAAAACATACAGAATAAATTTACTGTATAAAAAAATAATTCCATTTTCCAGCCAACGTTATTCGTGTGATAAAGCACGCCTCGTGAGTTTGTGAGTACCATCACTGTCGATTTACATACCATATTTACTTTTTATTTGCACAAAAAACATTGTTTTTTGTATTTGTATTGAGTATTTAAAAAAAAATAATAACTAATTTAAACCTATTAGGTATTAGGAATATGGGTATAAAAATATAACATAATTTGTTGAAGTCTTTAAAATTTGTTTAGAATCATTAAAAAGTAATTTAAGCTTATCTCAAAGGTGTTGTAATCTATAAGAAGTCTCGCTTTACGAAAATGGTTAAGTCAATTGAGAAAAAAAGTAAACAGGTTTTAGTAATTCGAAACTGAAACAAATGAGTAAAAATAAATAAAATAAGATTAATAGCAGTGCTCACACTTTTATACTATACAAGCTGTCGTCCGCGGCTCCGTCTGCGCGGAATTAAACAAAACGTCATTAGTAGCCTTTGTGTTCTTTCAGACTATTTTCTATATGTATGCCAAATTTCATCGAGATCCGTTTAGCCGTTCTGGAGATACCATCAAACAAACATCCATCTATAAATATAAGTTTAGTAAGATAAGATGAGAGGAAGAACCTTAATATTTCTATCGTTTTAATAAGTTCAGATCGTTAGATCTTTGTTTTCCTTCTGACTTTCGATTGTGAACATAACTCAAGGATAGCGATTGTTTAACTAAAGGCCGCAGCAGTTTGTTACGTGACTTAATTTTTAATTCTTTTGGTAATTATCATGTCAGATTGGCGATTAATTTCATGTCCTTTCTGTTTATAAATTTCGAGACGTTTGTTGTTTGATTTTGTAATTTCTTTATTGTTAGTTTGTCCTACTTATAGATTTATTTACGTACTAGCTGTCGCTCGCGACTCCGTCTTCGCGGTATTATAAAAAATTTAATTGGTAGCCTATGTGTTCTTCTAGACTATGTTCTATATGTTTGCTAAATTTCAGCGAGATCCATAGAGCTATTCTCGAGATCCCTTCAAATAAACATCCATCCATCTATCCAAACATTCACATTTAAAATATCAGTAAAATTATTTTTTGTGGTTAGAAGTGTTTGTATTTTAGCTAAGGATTTGTATAATGGTATATTAAGTAAACTCCTGGGAAGATATAAATGGGTAGTTTGTGTGGTGGCGTGGCGCAGTTAACGAGGTCGCACTCTGTTAGCTTTACATTTTCTTCGGTAATTGAATCGGCGAGCAGCATTCTATTGAGTCGCTTTACTTTATACTAAAATAAACAATATCCTTTATACAAGTTCATTTCAGGTTATTGAATTATTGATTAACTTCAAATTCATCAAACCTATTCTAAATATAAAATATTTAGGAATAACAAGATTGAAAATATTTGCGTTTAAAATTAAATAAAATGGAATGAGTTGATATCTACTATGCGTCGCAACTCACATGCATTTCATATTTTAATCCCTTTTTTGTCCTTGAATAAACGTTAATAAGACTTGAGATAACAATAATGTTATTGTATGAGTGTTCCGGCAATGGAAACTCACGGTTAGGATATACAATGTGAGACTTTTATAGCACCAACGTGAGTGAAGCAATCAAGTCAGACGTTCAGTAATCCTCTATTAGCCCGCAGTAGACGACGGGATCCATTTTACTTTTCAATTACCTTCGTAGGCTCTCATACGCTATAGATTACGCTTTATTAGAACGGTCTATTGTACCACACATGAATTTAAATTTTATAGAACTTTAGGTATATTTTTGTTGCAACTTTTACTACTACAATGTTTGTTTTGTTTTATATTTCTATTGTAATCTGTTGCCGAAAAGGCTTGGTACTTTTTAACGTGATAAGTTTGGCTTAAAACTTTTATTTTAATTTTAGGTTGTTAAATAGTGGAAAAACTTTCGTCAGTTTTGCAACAAAGATATAACGCACTATGGTGTGTTAATTATAAAACATTGACATTGTACTGACACTTTACAGTTGATTGACCTATAAAAACTATGGCTAATAAATTCCCGATAATTTGTAAAACAAACACGTATTTTGTGCATAACTAGCACAGATTGTATGAGTCAATGTTTTGTTTTTCGATGAGACGGATGACTATAAAATGTCCTCCGTGGGCATAATGTCTGCATAACACAATAATTTTATCAGATTCACATTTTAACCGTATTTTTTATCCTTAGATTTTCAGTTTAGATCGAAGAGCACTAACTACAAATGTCCAGTAGTCTTTAAAATAAATAAATGCAGGTTCGATTTCTTGTTTAAATGTACTCAAGAAAAGTAAATGTCTGAAAGCGGGCAGAAGCAATCAGCTGTGAGGCAAGAGAAATTTTACTTATAATGTTTTCCATAGTTCTAAATTCTATTTTACTTCTTTCGTATTTTTATACATATAATGAATGAATTTGGTCTTAATACAATTTTTGGTGACAGGACAGTGTCAAATATCAGTTTGTTATCTAAAATCCATCATTCTTTTAGATGTTTATAGGCCTTTGTATGTCTTGGTTTGGTAGAACAAATTTTTCCATTTTGGCCTCTCTTCAAATTTTTTATGCCTTTTTCATCCTTCTTGGGAATATAAAAAGAAATGCGTGACGTATAATTATTAATTTACAACTACTACAGTAAATTAAAGTGAATCTATATGTATTTTACTTCCAACCTGTGATCTACCAATTGAATTTTATGGTAATTTTATTGCAGAGCTTTAAAAGAGGTGAGTCAGGTCGGAAGCGAGGCGCGGCGACGCTGAGTGATGCCCCATTAAGGGGAAATGTGCCCGGCCTCGAAAGAAAATATATCGAACAAATTATTTGCTCTTGATTTCCAATTTAAATTATTTTGCGCACATGAATATGTAAAGGAAAGCTTAATGAATTCCTTTTACTGACAAAAATCGAACGACAACATTCAATTTCAACGGTTGGACAATGCACTGCAAAATTATCTTTTATGTTTGTAAACTTAATTAAGAAGCATGAAAATATTTTTATGTACGTGTTTCGCCAATGAAAACCCGCACTAACTTGGTACATTAAGTATTATGCAAATTAAAAATTTCTCAAGCAATATTACCTCTAAATTAGAGTAATATAAAATGGTTTACGAGCTCACGGATCGCTCTAAATTAACTGCGAGACAAAAAATCCACAAGGTTTTTTGGATGACGGTGCAAGAAGCGTAGTCACGACTATGGAATAGTTGTTTACTGTTAAATTGGATTTACGTATGCTGCATACTTGTTTTCCCTGTTTGTTTTTAAGATAATTAATAAGTAGGGTAATTTATAACCTTATAAGAAGTATGGGGATATATTTTAATCACAAGTGCATATTACCCGGGGTTTTTACAGTCGTTTTTCTTAACTTGTTGTTGATCATTGTTTGCCAATGATAGGAGAATGGAGCTACTATAGTAATTTATTTGATTTGTTTAATTTACGTAGTTTTCTTAGTGTACCTATATAAAATTTTATTTTATTGAATGTCCTCGAAAGCCAAATTTAAGTTCGTTTTCTCTTAAGAATGGGCGACAGATTATACAAAGGTGTACAAGAAAAAGGTTTTTTTTAAGTTAATCTCTTTTTATAAAGGTGGATAAGGGCTCTCATCTACAACACATTAGATCTTGCAGAAGACTAGGAGTAGATATCACCTAATACCTGATGACCTACTAATTCGTTGTCTCCTTGTTGAAAAAAAAAACTGTAATTTGGCAAAGTTTCAATATTTCATCAAACAAAATAAATCAATTTAAAATTCAACTTTGTGTTGGTGTTTCACAGATAGTATTAAAATTTCGCAGCAGCAATCTGTCGATACATCAGGCCGGATATTGCGCTAGGCGGGGCGCATGTCATCGACAGTTCTGGTTTATTCTCTATTTTATATGCGACGTTTATTTCCTAAGTATTATGCATTCGATAATGCATTCCGTTCATGTTAAAAAATAATTTCGCTTAAATGTTATTAAGAATTTTATCGTAAAAACATGATATGTATAATGAGGGCATGCTGAGCTTAAAGATTATAGCCAAGAATGTGGCTACCTACAAAGGTAAAGGAAAGACCAAAGAAAGTAATAATAAGATAATAGTAATGTCTTGTAGAGATTTATTATATTCTTCAGAGTTAAGTATTTTATAAAGCACTATCATTTTAAATTATTAAAAATATAACTCAAAAAAGGATTCATTAAAATTCGACTTGAAAATGTAGTTAGCTCAAATTACGTTGTTGTTTACTGAACTCTTGCATTAGACAATGGTAACCATTTTGCATTTCGTGCAACGTGTCTCACAAAATTGTTTTTAGACGAGACGAGCTCTGTGCAAGTCAAATTTTAAATGATGTCTTGTAAACAGTTTCTATATATCTTTTAACAACGAGGAGAAATTCTCATTCTTTGTATTTCTAATTTAAATAACTAAATGCTCAAAGCCACGTGTCCTTGTTAATGAGAATTAAGGCTTAATATATTGAATGGAACATTTTAAATCGTATGCTATTAAGTAAGTTTGATTTTCAAAAGGTATGTATTTTATTTTAATTTCTCCTCATTCATAATCGTAATTTAATATGTCTATAGTCAGTTACAGGGTGTTTGAATTTCAATTTCGCAAATAGCATTGGAATGTCAAATTAAAACGAGACTTAACTCCCTAAAGAAATGAAACATACTTTGCTTTTGATTAAAAACTGTCGAAGTTCAAACAATTTCTAATGTCGTGCAAACAAACAATTGCGAAATTGAATCTCAAATGAATTTTCACAAAAATTCTTTCAAGCTGTTATATTAAAAACGGTTAGAAACAATTATAAGCTACAAAGTACATAAAATATCGCGACTCAATACATTATTGTTAATAAAATAATTTTCATATTATCTTTTTAATTCTTAAATCTTAATTAATTTAATGGTAAATCAATTTATTGTGAATTTTAAGTCTGGAATAAAATAAAAAGGGCAATTAACAATAATTAATAGTGAATGCCCCAAATTAAAATACACGTCACAATAAAGTTCATTAAATATGAAAACATAAAGTGGTTTTAATTATGAGCTGATTCAACTCAATCAGTATTGATACCTTGATACAAATGTGTTCACTTAAATTATTTAATTATGTATGTATTTTCTATGAAAGGCATTTAATACAATATTTTATTTTATGGACAACAAAATATTATTAAAAATCAATGGAATGAAACTTATCCATAATGTCATGGACCAAAATCCCTGTATTAAATATATCGTCATCCCTTTCATTACTTTTGACAAAACAAAGGCAGCTATATATTTAATACGGGGATTTTGATCTTATGAACCCACTATTAGCTTCTTAATTTTTCTTAACTTTTTATAATAATAAATCAAAATTTCACCTATAAGAAGACACAAGCTCTTTCTTATAAAATAACAACGTGCCAAAGAGTTCGCGTTTTGCGGTTCCGCAAAAAGAAGCTTAAACAAATTGCACCCTTTTCTGTTCCTGGAAATATAGTTTATGTAGTATTATAAGATGAGTGTTCGTACGTGCTGGATGCCACAAATGCATAGCACGAATATACAAGTGAACGATTTACATTTATAGCATAGCAAATTTCGATAAAATTTTAAATAAGATTATTAAAATTTTAGCGTAAGTTAAATAAAAAAATTATATTTCGAAAAACATAATGTATTTGCGAACTTGTAAATAATTGTCTTTTTATTCAAAGTTGTTTTCTATAGTAAAGTATATGACGATTGTGCCAAGAACTCAAGTTTACTTGTTCAATATTATGAATACAAATTAAAAGAAGCTAGTCGCGTGCAACGCACTACAACATTCAGTATTACACAATAATTTGTTTTACAGTTTATTAATGCTAAGTTCGTCTTTATCACGGTTCCGGCCATGCGTGGGAGTTATTCAGCTTAAGTAACACTAAGTTATCAAAGTAATTTAAGTTTGGCTACAGCCTACAAGTTGACTTACAGCCGACAAATTAGTGCATTAACTACTCGTAAATTAAACTCAATCATTCAGAGCAAGCTGCATTGATAAATATAGTTTTATTAGTTTTACGTTCACTCCCAGTCCATGTTCTCCAAGTAATGTTAGAATTGAATGCCACATAGAGTTTCTTACGTTACATTTGAATACCCTGAAACAAAACTTGTTCGTACAGTTCATGGATCTAAATCGGTTGCTTTTAGGCAAATCGATCGTATTCCCAATCAAAGGTCTTGTTCCCTGAGTAGCTATAAGATTGTTTTGTTTGATCTTTTTTTAGATAAGTAACGGACGAATATATTATGAACAAATGAAACAAAACATAATTCCTACTTAGGCCATTTTATTTTGATCTAACTCAAATTTTACAACTTATTAGATACTCAGTTCATAATTTACGTAGCTTTAAATGCGCAAAAATTACGCTAAAAATTATTTCTGCGCATTTGCGTTATACTTCTGGCAGGCGTTAGCAAAGTTGCTCAATCGTACTTATCGAATCGAATTTTCTATTTTAATATTAATGGAATCGACATCAAAAATAAGTTTTAACAAAAAAGGCTTCTAAAAGACGAATAGTTGTTTGCAACCCAAAACACTGGTCACTTGACATGATGCGTTATAATAAAAAGAAAATCGAAAAAGATTATTGATGATCGAAACAATAAAACTGATGTGTCAGATAGGGTCATTATCATCTAAATATTACTAAAATAGTATTTTAGTACTTTTGAATATTTGACAATTATTAAAATTATAAGATACTAGCTGTCGCCCGCAACTGCGTTCGCTTGGAAGTAAAAATATAACTTAATTAATAGCTCATGTGTTCCTCCAGATTCTACATCAATGACAAATTTAACCGTGATCCGTTCAGTTGTTCTGGAGATACCTTATAAAACATCCCTCCATCCAACCATCCATCTAATCATTCGGATTTATAATATTAGTAAGATGTATACGAATATTTAAACGAATTGTTATCACGGCATACACGTTATGAGGCAGGTAGTTATTTATAATATCTTGTTAACGTCCCTTTCTCGCAATATTGCACTCGTTCCCGATATTATCAACTAGTAAATATATTGAGCAATAAATTTAATAAACGACACATCGATTTTTATTTAGAATGTGATAACTATATATGAACATACAAAATGTGTTTACTTTCAAATCAATTGTCGATTCATTAACTTTTGTCTATTGAATAAAATCTATAGATAACCTTAAAGACAAAAGATTATCAGGCGTGACCAAATTAATTAGTTTTTAATCTGATTTGCAAGTCATCGAACTTTATATCATATTAGTAATTAATTCTTTTAGTTGTAACGGAACAAAAACATTGATAATAAGTTTTTCTTTGTGGAAACACAAGACGGAAGCATTTTTTTCTGCAAGTTACTGAACATGTGACTTATTTATTACATTATAGTTACATTTTTTACTAGATTCCGTCTAGGGGATGTACCACGTAGTATCTTGTTCATAGATTTGTCACCTACTAGCTGATGCCCGCGACTGCGTCTGCACGGAATTAAAAAAATACTTTATAAGTAGCCTATGTCTTTCTTCAGACTATGTTCCAAATTTCATCAAGATCCGTTGAGCTGTTCCGGAGATACCTTAACATCCATCTATCCATCCATTCATCTAAACATTCACATATTTAATCTCGTACTTCTATCTGTAAAAATCACGATACTTCCATATAACTTTCCAACCCCCTTTTTAACCTCTTACAACCCATTTTCGGGTAAAATGTAGCTTATGTCTTTTCCCAGGCTCAAGACTATCTGTATACTAAATTTCATTTAAATCGACTCAGTAGTTTTTGCGTGAAAGAAGAACAGACCGACAGACAGAGTTACTTTCTCTTTTATAATATTAGTAATGATTATCAAAATTAACTCTTAAGTAGACGTCAAACTTGTATGAAAAACTCCATCTATAGCTTATACGAGTATGTGTATAATTTTAGTCAAGTAAATAGACATTGTGAAATTGTTTTTGTATCTTTTGGAGAGGATAAAAAAGGTTAAAAACAACTCTGTTTTAATTAATGTAAATCGTGTATTTACATTTTTATAAACAGTGATTTGTTTTATATCTAAGTATCATGACATATTTTCTGAGGCTAGCTTATATCTACATCGAATAAATATGATTTAAATATTCAACGATTTACAGATATTTAATTGAGATTTCACATTTTGTTTTAAATCTTGTGCAATATGAAAATCTATTTATTTATACATGTGAATATTAATAATAGATTTCTAATACATTTCATAGGCAAAATATGGTGTCTTTTAATATAAAATACAGTCGGCGTAAATATAATAAGACACAGTTCTAGTACAAAAGTTAAAGAAATATGTTTATTATCAACGATCATAAAAATAACAAAGTAAACACACGATAGTTTTATAAAAAAATGTTGTAATTTTTTTTAGTAATTGGACACATTTGCTACGATAATATTTCCCACATTCTAAATTAATTTCGATAAAAAGTTAAAATACAAAGACCTAAAAATAATAATTAATGCATACCATAAATGAGGTATAATAAATAATTTATACACTATCAAATTAACGAAAGATTACATTTTATAATACAATATTAATCTTTCAGTTCCTTACTTGTATTAAGCCATATGTATTTATAAAATAAAGCTGAAATTGATCCACCGATGATTGGTCCGACCCAGTACACCCAGTGCGTAGACCAAGCCCCCGTCCATACAACTGGACCTAGGGATCTAGCTGGATTCATACTTGCTCCAGTAAGCTCACTTCCAGCTATAGAAAGACCAGCAATTGTAAAACCAAATTTCAAAGATACCGATTCTAATGATGCTTTATTTGCAGGATCCCAAACAGCACAATTCAAGAAGTTCAACGCCGCTGTTAAAATTACTTCGACTGCAACCGCTTGTAACATCGTCAGTTGTGAATGAGGTTGTGTCGTGCAAACTTCATTTGGTACTAAATCTAGTGGCGACACACCCATTAATATACCGTATCCGAGAATCGAACCTGCACACTGCGCTATCACGTATGCTATTCCCAGCCATACGGACATTTTACCCCAAAGCACAGCTCCTAGAGTAACTGCTGGATTCATATGAGCTCCTGATATATGTCCAAAGGCTTGTATGTTAAATAAAACAATAAAACCAAACGCAAATGGTCCGTACAGTGGTGGTTGTATCTGGAATCCTTCCAAGGGCACGCATGCCATACAACCGAGGAATACAAGAAGTAATGTCGAAGTAAACTCAGCTAGGACAGCTTTACAATCAGCGATTAGTTTACTATTTGTTTTTCCGTTTGCATTTTTGGCATCTTTTACTGATACACTTTCGATCACGTTAACTAAATGGTTACCAGGTGTAATGGTCATTTTGTTTACACTTTCACTTTCACTTGTTCACTATTATTATTTTCGGACTATCTTGTTAATTCAGCATGCCCGCGGTGTGACAGATATTCGCTAGAATATATTTTCGGTGCACCGTTGATAATATTTTATAGCAGACGTAACGTATTATTATACAGATAGGCCGCTGATATCGAGCAATGAGAATTACTTTATCATTGAATATATTGTTTTGTTGATATGATGTCTTTAACTCTGCAAAAGTTACGTCTGTATCTTGTACAGATATACCAAAAGTGTAGGTAGTCTAAAATACTCGATACTATTGATATGCTACAAAACAAAGGTAAATATTTATGTATTATAATTTTAATCGACTTTTTTGTTACTTAAAAACTTATGTTTTAATTCAATTAGTACATATTTTTAACTGTTTTAAAGTAATAATAATACAGACAATTATTTCTTAAAGTAAACATTACGCAATTTTATCTTGTCAAAAGATTTAATATATTTGTCCTTTACAAAAAAAATTTTGTAAAATAATCGTTTTGATTTCATTCAATGTTTACAAATACTAACCCGACATACTTTCTAGAGTATGTGTGTGATAAAGTGTGAATACATTCTTCGCTATATGAAAAAAAAACACAAACGAGACAACATAATCCTCAAAGATAACACTAAACGACGAGAATATAATTGTATGTGTCCATTACATACAATCACAGTGTACACATTGTACATATCATCATAGGTTTTTTACTGTTTGCCAACTACTGTTTATCTTGATAAATTTGTTTTAAAGATTATATCTTTTTTTTCAGAAAAAGAAAGTAAGCGACCACATGATTTGTCTCATATTATTATTATCGTTAGTATTCATTAAAATTATTTGTAAACGTTACTCCTTTAAAATCGTACCTCATTTGAACAAAGTTTACATTATAATTTACCCTTTTCTCTCTTTCAGTAAGGAATGACAAAATCCGTTGTCATTATCTGAATATAGATAGACGCAAATAAATATATTTTGAGTGATACGCGTCATCAAGCCTATTATTTTTGGTTGATTGAAATGATAACAACTAAATCTATAAATGAACTAGCGGTCGCCCGTGACTTCGTCAGTGCAGAACTTAAAATGTAGAATATAATTTTCCTCTCCCAGGGAATTCTTGAACGGGAATCAAATTCCCGTCGAAGTCCCGTTAAAATCGGTCCAGCCGTTCCGAATATTATCCGGAACAAACGCGGCTTTGCGGAAAGCTATCCAGACATACAGAAAAAAAAGTTAAGAAAATTGTTTTTTGTTATCAGCTACGCAAATACACCGTTTGTACGAAGATAATTTTTTATTTCGATTACATACATACACTTCAATTATATTAAATTGATAGATAGATATGTTGGAGTTTGTAATCTGCTGACATGTGCACTGGCTGGTTTTAGTCTAGTTTATAGTTTATGAAAAAAGGTGTACATCTGTCATACGTAAAATATTTTTCATTGTCTTTCATAAATATATTTTCCCAAGTAAACTTGTATTATTCATCAAGATATATAGGTAATCAAGAAAATTTTACTTCTGATGTTATAGATAAGCGTTTATTAGTTAAATTAAAGTAGAATTTCTAATAACTATAACGCGATGAGTACCGATGTGTTTTACGTAAATATACGATGTTTATAATCTTTTGCGTATCACAGAGATAATATATATTGTCCCCGTTCCATATACAATTCAGTAAACAAAAACTCAAAGATTACAGTATTGTGGATGTCAAAAACATCGAAATTTTAAAGAGACAGAAATGATTTCTTTAAGCTCGAAGCGATGTGCAAATTTATGTATTAATCGTCCTACTAAGAAAAAGTTAATCGTAGTTAAATATTTAAGTATGGGGGACGGATTCCACAAAAACTAACATAGGATTTTACTTAACTTGTAAAGGTTAGAAGTGGAAGGTAACTGTTTTACGATAAATTATTGCAATAGAAATTATAATCCTCTTTCGAGTTTTCTCTAAAATTATCATGGACATATACATGGACTAAGTTGCAAACCCTGACTAGTAAAAAAATATTACTATTTCAACCGTTTGTACAGTAATACTGTAAAAGAAATGGCTCTTAGAAAACCAGAGGGCATAGGTTTAGGTTAGGAATTTTATGACATATAACTCGGTGAAATATTATATTTTGTTAAAACGCGAAAAATCTAACATAAATATATTTACAGTTAGAAGAGGTAAAAAGGGGCTCAAATAATAAGTGGTTTGGCGCACACTGGCTACAAGTGGCTACCCACTTGACGCCAATCTTGACAACATTAAGAGGGTCAGAGATAAATTATATTTATTTGTTTTTATATTGAAGGTCACAGATTGTCGCTATAAATTTATATAAAAACTGCCAAAACTTTAATTAATTAGTAAATTAAAATCTTCCATATTAAATGCGGACAAAATCAAAATAAGTTCGTTCGAAATATGATTTTTATTTCGATGTAATATAAAGACACTCTAAATTTCTTAATATGTAATGATAAAAATGCTGGTTGTTGAAAATAACAATAACTGAAAAAAAAATTGCTTTAGCAAACAAAATTGTTGGTTTTACAAAGTAACTTGTGTATCATTGAATCTTTGCATACCAGTCCAGTTATTAAATTCATATGTTTTTGACGTTAACTTTTTAAAATAAGTAAATCCTTACTAATATTATAAAGGCGAAAGGAACTCTGTCTGTCTGCCCTTCTTTCACGCAAAAACTACTGGACAGATTTAAATCAAATTTGGTGCACAGATAGTATAGAGCGTGAGAAAGGCTAAAGGATATTTTTAACGCGAAAAAGGGGTTGTAAAGGGTTGAAAATTTTTATGGAAATATCATCGAAACTTATTTTTTAGGCTTTGTGTTTTCTTTTCATTCTGCGCGGACGGAGAAGCGAGTCTCAGCTATTTTTATCTAAATCTACAAGAACGTTAGCGTAATTTACGCTAACGTTCTTTCTTATATTGTAAGGTATTGTATAACTTCGTTATAATCTCAATTATTCAAAGTGTTTTCATGAAAGTATAATAAATATTCCTTATAACAGAAAAAAATTATCATACTTTGTGTTGCGCAGCACAGGATACTCAAATGTTATGAATTAGTTAAAGAAAACTTTGCAACATGGTTGTCGAAGTTCAGCGATTTCAGCGGAGCTTGTTTAGTTTTAGTTTCGTTGATATAAACTAGAGCTCAGAATTTTCATACATTTTTTACTATAAAATTACGCTATTTATGACATTTAAGGATTTTTCTATATCTGTAACAATAATATTTGAATGAAAATGGGCTGTTCTTTATGGGATTTTTATTTTTTATATTAAAACATATTTAATCAAATTCAATAGTTTCGGAGTCTATTATATAAAAACAAACAATCTCTTTAGTTTATACTATTGGTGTAATTGCGGTTCGTACAGACACAGATCATACGACGCCCACGTATTTTGTAGAATAACACACAGTGGAAAAGCGCAATAAGTTGTTATCGTTAAAGTGAGTAAATCATCGACACAGTAAAGGTGGCTGCGATTTAGAAACTTTTAAATTTGCCGTGTAGTTTGTAGTTTGCAGCGAGCCCGCTCCTGCGAGGCAGTCATGTCGTTAAACTTTGCCTATTTGTAAATTTATATTTCGACAATATTTTAGTGCTAAATTATAAACTGCACAATACGTTACAAGCTTTATAAACTTCTTTTTTAACTAAGAAATGGTTATAATTCGATCATTAACTGTAAGGCAAAAATATTTTAAGCGACCAAACCTTTTATCACGACATTGTTATGTGGTAAACGAATATTGAATAATTAAATGGTCAGCGTTTTGACTTTGAAAATCGTTACTCAAACGCTAATTATATCCGTGGGGTAAATGCAATTTTTAAAAATAGCTTTTATTAAAGAACATCTAATGAAATATAAACAGCGTGATTAAAAAATAATAACGCCATGATAAAAAGCAAGATTCTTTTTATTTCGTCTGCGTCCCGTCATATTGCAGTTTTAATGAAACATCCTTTGAAACGAAATCTCCTTTTGCTTGTTACAAATTTCTTAAAGCTATTTACAGTTGAGTTGAATACTTTGATTATTCAAATATTAATTTTCTCATGAAACTGGTATGCAATGGAGCTTCCTAGTTTACTTCAATTTTTATGTATGTCCAGTTTATACATGCATTTATTGCATCTCATACCAACCTTTGAGAACGTAACATTACTTAATATTAAAACATCCAATTATGTCTATTTAACCGAAAAGTGTAATATTTAGTAAATATAAATACCATTGCTGAAATAATGCGTATTGAATGGATTTCTTGTGTAAATGTATTACTTTTAAAAATGCTTCAAAACATATTCATATTATGCATAAGTATCGAAAACATCAGTACCTTTTAACAGTTCGTACCCACGACTTTTATTAATATATGTTTCGAAAAATATTTGAACTGTTAATTTTGCAGACATGTCAATCATTCTGTGCCTTTTGTTCGTAAATATTAGATTACTCTAGGGAAATACTTTGAACGAGAAACCCTTACATTGTATTTTAAGGTTCGGATTGTATTTTAAGGTACCGATGCGGATGGCTGGCCGTCGTTTTGGGTCTTAAATTTATTTCTTATCTTTTGTTCGGAAAGGAGAAGGTATTCTTTTTGTTATTTAAAATATTTAAAGTATTAATCATGGGTTTCTTCGACCAAAATCTGTGTAAAAATATATCATCATCTCTGTCATTACCTTTGACAAAAAAGAAATAACAATATCTTTTAAATGGAGATTTTGGACTCAGAAACCCACGGTAAGTTACCTTTTATATTATTCATAGTATATCACCTTTCAATTTGGACAGATTATGTACAGAGAAATAATATAGTAAAACTCAACACCTTAATAATTAAAGGTGACCTTCCAGAAAAGTTAAAACAAATATTAATGTTTTCGGATTCGATATAAGGAACAAAAGAATTGAAAATCAAGAGAGAAAAGATAATACGGAACCCTAAAAAACACAAGAAATTTAACTTTTTGGGAGTCAATTACTACTACTACTACAAGGTTAATAAATTGTTTTGACAGCAAACAAACTTCTGACTATCAGATTATTTTGTTGCGAAGTGAAGTCGACCGCGGCGTAGCCGTGATCCGTTCCTAACTAGTTTACATCGCTAAATAAGAACTGGGTTAGCGATTTATCACTACAACTGCGGTAAAGGTAAACGGCAATAACTTTACCCTCTG